TTGCCTTATTTCCTTGTCACTCGAGTCGATTTCATAATGATGATACACTGTTTTTACTACCCGAATGTATTTTTTTATATTACGTCGTGGTGGTTATTTATCTTAGCAACAGCAGTGTTTTAAACCGGCATAGACACGAGTTTTTTTTTTAAAGACAACTCCCGTATTAGGAATATATTTCATGTGTCGCTGGGGATTTTACAAACATACATGAAACGGACACAAAGAGTACCAGCCTCAGAACAACAATTTGTGGATCACACAAAGTGTCGTCCCATGTGGGGATCGGACCCACAACACTCAGCGTACCGCTTAAAACACTACGCCATCCGTGCAGTCATTATTCAGAGTTAATATTCCCTGAGCTAATAATATTATTTGTTTGTACAAATAATATTAGCTTAGGGAACAATATCAACAACAAGGAAACAATACCATGTACTTAACTAACTACATATAATCTTGTTATTATATATAGCTAGTTGGTACTGTTTATAATTAAATAGTGTTGCATGACATCATTTAAGCCGTAGATCAGTCACTAAAGCTGTGCGTGCATCGACAGTTTTCAAAATCATCGCAAGTATCATTACCATGGAGGATTTTCACACGACATATGTGGGCAAACTCAATATGTATGACAGTGCGAAACAGTGTTAATGACACGTTTCTATAGACAATAGAATTAAGGGGTATCTAAATTACGTATCCTTGTCAATTTAGTCAGTTTCTTTGTTCTCAATAATACGATGTTATTATCTCGTAACCGTGGGAGAGTCAAGCTTCGTCCCAATTCTGCCGACTCGACCGGGGTGATACCACGGCCTCACAGAAAACCGGTGTTAAGCTATTCTCTCGTTGATTTTCATCGAGAGAGTGAGGTTATCGGCACCCAAATCCTCCCTCCCCCTTTCTTTCATTAATTCTGGCGGAGGGGGCCTCAAAGAGCGGCAGCTTATGACAGGTGACTATGTGTGGCGTTAGTTACTTATCATTAGGTGATATGTCTGGTCGTTTACCCTCCTCTACCATAAAAAAGGAGACAATAGCCTGTTCATTTGCAACATCTTAACTTGCAAGAGCTGAAAATTGACACTATCTGTGGTGTCTTCGTTACTTTTAAATTGTTTAATATTCCCTATGTTCACACTCCTGTACACCAGGATTAACGAACGTTTAAACAGAAGAAAAGATTATGAAAGAATTCAGATACAGCGAAGTCAAGTCCGAAAGCTACATAGGAGCCTTTAGGTAATAAGGGGGTCCCTTATTACCTAAAGGCTCCTATGTAGCTTTTACCTCACAGCGAAAATTAGCCGAAAGCATCAAATTGATCAATAATTTTTCTTAACAAGCTTTCTAGATTTTCTGAAAAGGTTCCAATTTAATTCAAATTTAATTCGTTTCGGATTCGGCAAAAGGTTATTTTTTCCTGAGTCACACAGAACTGTTACTGATGTTACCAGAGTTCTATTTATCAGCTAACCATAAGAGCTTTGTCTCGCGAACAAATGGAAATCCTGCTACAGGTTGCCTAAGCAGGGCAGAAGATGGCGTAGTGGTTTAAGCGGTGGTTGGTGCCGATCCCCACATGTGACGACACTTTGTGTGATCCATAAATTGTTATTCTGAGTCTGGGTGTTCTTTGTGTCCGTTTCATGTATGTTTGTAAAGTCCCCCGCGACAGGATATATACCTAATGCGGCAGTTGTCTTTAAAATAATATCCATAATGTCTCTTCATAACACTTAAGTATATTTAAAATCGCAATTTTCCTCATATTTATTTGTCAGTGGGAAATAAAAATCGTACTATCTATTTCCACGGCTCTCAAAAGAATAGCAGCATTAGATATGGGTCTGATAATTACAAAGAAACAATGTATAACTAATCTCTAAGAGTATTTACCGACAATATGTCTGGTTTATGTCTGACTGAATAATCATTGGAACCTAGGATTGCCAGTTCAGTAGATCTACACGTTTTACTAGTCGTCTACTCCATACACCGGTAGGGGGGGGGAACGTGAGGTCTTGGGCGTTATAACAACTGCTATAAAATCATTAATGAAACCGACACAAAGAACTCTTAAACTCAGCAGAACAACAATTTGTGGATCACACAAATCGAACCCACGATTCCAACGCAATAGAGCGAGGTGACCGCTTAACTCGTGCAGTCAAGGCATTGTAACGCCCAAATTTTTTTTTTGTTTGGTATTGTGGTGGTGGGTTTTCTATTTGGTAATTCTCAATAGTAGTACGTCATAAAATGTATTTCTTAGAATTACCGCCTATTTCTTAGAGCACATAAAAATGTTCACCAGCAAGTATCGTGAAGTACCTACCAGTTATTATCAGGTCTATTATTAAGATATGATTCCATTACTTATGTACTATGTTGATAGGTAATCATAACGAAAAAATGATTTAATGATAGTTATATGTTAATCTTATCTCAGTTTAGATTGCTTTTACGCCAATCGTGGATTAGTAAATACGTGTCATGGTAAAAGGAATATTTTTTTAAATACGTTAGTAGGAAGCAATAGGTGTTAATCAATCAATGTCCTTGTGAAGATAATATGGAAGTGATCGAATTCCTTTTTAAGGAAATTATCAATTCACATGGCTATTACAATAGTCTAAAATTGTCGTATGTGGAACTGTTTAGACATACGACATCTCTCCTTAATTAGGAATTATTTTGGTTTTGTTTTTCTTTCAAATTTCTATTAAGTACAGAATTTATGAAATTACTTCATGCTGAAACGGACCATTTAGAGAGAAGAGACATTCTAAGACAAACTTCAGTCGCATCTAAACTACTGAACCGATTTTGATTAAAATCTGTTCAGCCCTTTGAAAAAGTAGATACAAAATATAATTATAATTTCAAGACTACGTTAACCCGTGCTATCAAGACTTAAAATTAGTAAAGTTTTTGGTCTAAAAAAATATAAACATACTAGATACCTATCTTAATTTTTAAACCAACATACATAGAAATATTCAAAACAATGTATATAGAAATATTCATTTAAATGAATAATTGAAATAAACTATTTTCAACACATGTGAACCATTTCAATTGCACCTCCATAGCAAAATTATAATAACAATAAAAATCCTACATCAATGTCTGCCTTACTCAGTTTGTGAATAATTAAGTTTAGAACGTTCTACTGATGTTGTTCGTTAGCTAAGAATTCTGGATTTCTTTTTTGAAATTAGAATGTTTCAAATTTCTGTTCCATAATGTGACCATAATATGTAAAACTATTGTCTGTGGAACATATTCTTTTTTTTTTACAATTTAGTAAAAAGTTGTAAACTTTTTGTTTCACAAAAATTATCAGAGTTCGTGTCAAGCGAACGTGTATTTTGTCTGATTTTATGGTTTAATAAAATATATTATTTACAAACTGCGAATTTTGTATTATTAGGTTGGTATTCTTAAATTCATTAAATTTTCTACCACACTGTTGTGCCTTTGGGTGTAGTTTTCCATTTATCATACCCATTTGATTTATCCGTTGAAATGACGAGAGAAGTTAAATAATATCCTCAATCGTAAAATTATGTTTTAAACATCTATTTATGTAGTAAATGTGTCATTCTCAACAACTGGTTTTTAATTGAGCACTAATCGATAACATCTGTTATACAGTCAGTTGAATATATTTGTAATGTATTTTTATAATGTATTCAAAGTTACAATTGCATTTAGTAGTATTTATGTTTGAAGATTTTCATAAGAAGTAATGAATGACGTTTGTTCTTTTTTTTTAACCGCTACATATCGCTATTCGAGCTTTTGGTTATTTGCACAAGTTTGTTGTCACGTTGTTTTTTTAGTCAATGTGTTCATTATAAGATATATGATTTAGCACATTTTGTAAATTAGCCGGTTTCCCCGATTTCATTGTGTTTAAAAAACGCCTTATTAGAATGTAATAAAAAAGTAACGAAGATAGCTAGCATTCTTATACATATAACGTGTTCTAAATACCTACATTAAATAACAGTTTACGTCTATACTCACGAAGTAAAATAATAAATTGTATAATATAGCAGCAAGGCTTGCTTGTGAAAAGCTGCTCATACCTAACAATACAGAAAAAAAAACAATGCGACCGAATACGAGTCAAGGGCCTCCCATATCAGTAAAAGGTCATTTAGTTTGAAGGTGAATAAAAAAAAAATCAATACACTCGGATACAAATATAATAAAATTGAACTTTTTTGTTTATTGAGCTCAATTATCTCTATTACTGCCAATCAAATTTGAATTCAAAATTTTGAATTCAGAAGCCTAAACATGCGTGTTAAAACGAATGCGAACCTTTTTGGAATCGTTAGTAATTTAAGAAATAAATATGAAGAGGTGTATTTTGCTTTTTTTTAGCAGCAAATCAATTTTGCATTTTCCCTCTTAATGTAGTAATAGAGTAAATAAGTATTGTACAACTTTGAAAATATATTTATTTTTACAATATAATTTTGCTCTGTGCTCAGTTCACGCCACTTGAGACTGATGCATTCCTAACTATCGTGTCAATATATTATTATCAGCAATATTATCGTACATTATCCGTGAATTTGTCAATCCATTCATCACTATTGTGTCCGATATAAGAACTTCTCACGTCAATTACTCGAGATATATCTATGAAGACGCATTTACAAATCTGTTCTACCAGTATTAGCATTTGATTTTAATGCGTTGTAACATAAACCATGCATTAATCTGTGTGAATTGTGATTTTTTTGACGCTATAATTAATATTTGTCATATTGTTAAGAGAAACAGCGTCGACAATATTTGTAAATACGTCTTTTTTAATCGTTAGCTAACCAAAAATGAACTGTGTATCTTAGACGAAATGTTCATTATTTAACGCATAGAATAGAGCAGCGTATTAGTGCTTTGTGCGAATAATGTGTAAAGTGCTTGGCTGCTGTTCACGTGGACTATTGCTAATGTGTGTTTGTGTTTAGTTTCGTGGCTGGAGTGATTCTTCGCGAGAGAATACCCGCTTTCGAGCGTATGTTATGGCGCGCTTGCAGAGGCAATGTTTTTCTTCGTCAGGCGGAGATCGACACACCTCTAGAAGATCCATCTTCCGTAAGTATAAACTGAACAGTTGATATAAAAGATATTGATGCTAATTCTGTTGTTCGAAAACTCTTTACACTAAACTAAAAATGGCTAAAATGAAATTTGTCCTGTCAAATATTACGTTTTCAGAATAGGAACCATTATTTGACAGGACTAAACAATTTTTTAGTGATTTTTAGTTTATTTCGAACAACAAAATTAGCACCATTAGTTAGTTATGACCTAAAGAGGGTCCATTCTAATACTTAGAAACATACTGTTTTTTCGGAACACGGGGACCGGGCCGCGCAGTATGAGAACTACATAACCGTTATTATTTGTTTATAATTCACATCACATCACATCAACAGCCTTTAATAATCCACTGCTGGACATAGGCATCTCCTTAGAAAGAAGGTTTTGTTTTGTTTGTTTATAATTATCTACATTATATTTGTAAACGCATTGTAAATCAGACAAATGATAGGTACATTTAAGAATTTATCAATAGAAAAAAATCTAAACATCAAACTAAAGATCGTTCCTTTCTACGCGGCATCAATCACTTTTATAAATGACTAATAATTTGTTTTTAGTTTCATAGTTACTATAAAAGTTTATGCTAATTTTAACTACCTACAGCTGTATGCCTTATAATTTTACAAGGTTGTGAACATAATATAAATCTATAAAAGAAATGATTTCATTAATGTAAAATTGAGAAGAATTAAGGATAAGGAAAATCGTCTATCCATATACAAATTATAATCTGCGGAATTCATGAGGAAATCCCCACTGTGTGGTGTTTGTAATATTTATAAGAATGTATTTTGTTTTGATATCATTGGAAATATTTTTTTTCGTTAGTTTCTTTTCCCTAAGAACTAGTATGATATAGTCATCTTTGTTTAAGAAAACTTTCGAAGGTCGTTATTGATTCTCAAAACTAATCGTCATATTAATTTTCTCAATATGACGAATGAATAAATAATATCTCACTACTTACTGTGCCTAGGCCCCATTTACCCCTCCCCCCTCTTAATTTAAGAGACAATCCCTTGTCGTTGGAGCAATCGCCACTGCTCTCCATTTCCTGCGATCTGTTTGACCTCTTGATAGGCCACGACTCCCACTTTCTCTTGCACTTGCTGTATGTATGTTGATCTAGGCCGACCTCGTTTTCTCTTGCCTTCGATTTTTCCTTCCAGTACCACGCATCCTCAAATCTCTCAGTAATATGATGATAAAACTATTCTGTTGCAGTCGGACCAGGTGTACAAGTCTGTCTTCATCATCTTCTTCCAAGGTGACCAGCTGAAGACACGTGTGAAGAAGATCTGCGAAGGATTCCGCGCGACCCTGTACCCCTGCCCTGAAGCTCCCGCTGACAGGAGAGAAATGGCCATGGGTGTTATGACCAGAATCGAAGATCTAAACACGGTAAGACTGACATCAGACCCGTGGTGGATGACTAAGTTTTTCTTTTCAGATAGCTCAGTTACTAGGCCGTTTATAAGTTATTCCTTATGTAGACAGCTACCTAAAATATTATCGAAATCGGCCCAGCCGTTTAGAAGATTACTCGGAACAAACAGACAGATAGACAAAAAAACAGTTTTTAGGCATAGGCATCGTGCAAATAAATATTATTTTTATTAAAAAACAGGCTATTTTTCGTCTTAGAAAAACCCTTTAAAAATTTTGCACAGTTCGGGAATCAAACCCACTAAGGCAGCGCCCAAGAACAAAGTCGCTGGTACCAGCTAGTTTAAAAATAACCTTATCATATCGGCCTCGTATATAAACCTAAGCTTCTATAATCAATCCCATAATCATTGCCCCTATTCGCAGCTATTTGCATATAATTAATTGCTACTCATAGCAACGCCCAGCCTTCGAGCTAACGTCATTGTTGCACCTGATTACATTACACAGTTTATATCTTTGACACACTAAGGCTGTGACTGGTTTAGGTGACATGCTATAATTGTTTTAATTGTTTAAAAAGACAACTCCCACATTAGGAATATATCCTGTGTCGCGGGGGACCTTACAAACATACATGTAACGGACACAAAGAACACCCAGACTCAGAACAACAATTTGTGGATCACACAAAGTGTCGTCCCATGTGGGGATCGGACCAACAACACTCAACGTAGTAGTAAGCGGCGTGGCGACCGCTGAAACCACTACGCCATCCGTGCAGTCATAATAATCTATTTATTTATTTCTCATCACAAATGCATATTTGTTACACAGTATCATAACTTAATTTAAGATAAGTATAGCAAACAATACATCTGTGAGAGAATGATGCCCGAGATAGATATAGAAATACCTGTTTTACGGGTCGCAAGGCCCTCAGTACTAAGGAATGAACTTGTGATATCTCACACAAAGTGTGATGAGTACAGACAAAATGCTATTGGGTATGTGAATTATTGTAAAGGATTAGGACTTGATGTCACCAGCCACGTTGAATTGGGTACTCGTATGGTGGGATCTTGGGACACTGAGTAAGTGAGGTTACCGGAGCCAAAATCCCCCCTCCCGCTAACTCGAGTGGGAGGGACTACAAAGACAGCAACGCACTTGTGACTTTTGAGCTGCAGGTGTCCATGGGCGGCGGTAGTTGCTTACCATCAGGCGACCCGTCTGCTAGTTTGACCCCTTAAACCATAAAAAAAAACTACGCCCTATAATCTATCCGTATAGGACCGTTCTAGTATTACGTAAGCACCAAAAAAGGGTGATAAATATTTACTTTGTTTATTTTTGACTAGCTTTTGCCCGCGCCTCCGCCCTCGTGTATATAGTAAAAAGTAGTCTATGGCACTCAGAGACAATATGCCTTTCTAACAGTGAAAGAATTTTCAAAATCGGATCAGTAGTACCGGAGGTTACCCTGAACATACAAACCCAAAAACTTTACCTCTTTTTAATGTTAGTGTAGATGGTATAGAGGGGTTTGAATGGCGATTACGTCTTCAATATTTATTAAGTAGATATGTTCATTATGGAATTTTAAATTCATGTTGAACATTAAATGTAACTAACTTGTCTTGTACGTGAGTAGGAATAAATAACAGTTGACAAGATGTGAGGGTTATATACGCCTCAACTTAACCCTTCGAGGATTTTATTAAATACGTGTATATCTATACAAATAAATAAAATTGGAGTGTCTGTTTGTAATATTAAAAAAAAAACGATTTTTACTAAATGCATATGTATGTTTACACGGTACATATGCCAAAATAATTTTTTTTACAATCTTTGTCTGTCTGTCTGTTTGTTCCGGGTAAGCTCTGGAACGGCTGGACCGATTTCGACGGGACTTTCACTGCCAGATAGCTGATGACATAAGGAGTAACTTAGGCTACTTTTTTTAGACTAGCTTCGCCCCGCGGCGTTGCCTGCGGTTATAACAACAAACGCGGGTAACACCGCGGGTCTCAGCTAGTTGTAAACCGTTACCCTGCAGTTGTATGTACTATACCAACACTTCACAGAAATATAATAATGTCACGACTGTATCGGTGGCGAACCCAAATGAAAAATAAATAATTATATTTTTGTTGCTGGCCATCGACGTGATATTAAATTAAAAAAAAACTTGTTGTCTGTATGTATCTTAATATCGCGCAAATGGATTAAGATTATGGTAAGATTTAAAGCTATGCAAACACCATATTTTATCATGGTACGAACTGAAGGCACGTAGAGGACATGGCTTATTGGACAGTTACATTTATCGCCGTACGTAATTGCCTGACTGTTAAACATGACATTAGGGTAATTCATTTGAACTCAAAATTATCGCACTGCTGTCGTAATCTTTGTGGGCAGGGTTGTCACATTTGCTATTGAACTACGTTCATAAATGTTGAAATAAATTATAAAGAGTTTTATTTATTATTTATAACAGAAAATTATAAAACAGTTATATTTAATATACGATGTAGTCTTTCACATCTATACAAATAAATAAAATTGGAGTGTCTGTTTGTAATATTAAAATAACCGCTTTTTTTTACTAAATGCATATGTATGTTTACACGGTACATATGCCAAAATATTATTTTTTTCATTTTTTGTCTGTCGGTCTGTCTGTCTGTTTGTTCCGGGTAATCTCTGGAACGGCTGGACCGATTTCGACGGGACTATTACTGGCAGATAGCTGATGACATAAGGAGTAACTTAGGCTACTTTTTTTAGACTAGCTTCGCCCCGCGGCGTTGCCCGCGGTTATAACGACAAACGCGGGTAACACCGCGGGTCTCAGCTAGTTGATAATATAAGTATGGATACCGGAAACAACATTCTTCTTCTGTATTTTACTATTCTGTACTTCCTTGACTAGTCCTTTAAATGCCGATCAAGGGCAATACAGAGTAGTAAAATACAGAATGATGGTTTCCCTTCTATAACAAAAATAAAGCTGTTTCTAATTTCGTTGCATTCAAATTTTACTTATCCGTTCTAATATCAACTACATGGCAAACAAGACAGATAATCACCCCATAAACAATTATAAAACTAGATATTGCCTGGGGCTTCGCTCGCTTTAAAATTTCTTATTTCGTGTTTCTTTTGACTGTTTATTCCTTATTTTATCCCCTTATCGATGAAATTTCCAAAAATTCTTCCTTAGTGGGTTCTTACAACATAAGCTGTCAATATTCCAAGTTTGTAAACCCAGCGGTTGAGGGTCTGCATCAATGAATCATTGATTTGTTTAAAAAAGACAACTCCCGCATTAACAATATATCCTGTGTCGCGGGCGACTTTACAAACATATACGAAACTTACACAAAGTACACCCAGACTTAGAACAACAATTTGTGGATCACACAAAGTGTCGTTCCTTGTGAGGATTGGACCTTCAACACTCGTAGTAGTAAGCGGTGTGGTGACCGCTTAAACCATCCGTGCAGTCAAGTGTCGTGCCATTCAATTAGTGAGGGCACGTCATTTTATATGTATGTATAAAAAAGTGAAAGTATCCTAGTAGTGACAACCCTATATGTATGTCAATAGTGTATTCAGGTATAGCCGTTACATTATATTACGTTGATAGGTAATTCACAATGTCCACAGTAATTACAAGATTAATCGAGTCACGCAATTCAGTGTCGTAATTTATTATAGACACTGTAAATACCCATAGCACTATATATACGTATAGTAATCGTTTTTATGTATTTTATACAGACCTAGGTACCGCTGCCTAAAAAGGTATTTCATCTAACTTGTTATATTTGCAAAACAGGAATGGAAACACGCCCTTTATGTATTTAGAATGTATTTAAGCAATTATTAAAACAGTAAGCCACCTTTTTTTTTTCCGTGCGGAAATCCCCTCGGATGCCACCTATCGGTGACATGTCGGACTCGAACCGACTAAAACCGCACGCCGTCTCGGGTACTAATAGCCGGGGAACCAGGTATACCCTAGAAAGGAGTGATAAGTCCCTGGTGCAAGGAAGTCCCTGGTGCTACAGTAATCCACCCTATAATCGTCCCTATTAACGACCGGATGGCGTAGTGGTTTGTGTAACGGACTGCTATTCCAAAGGTCGCGGGTTCGATTCCCGCTCAAGTCAAACATTTGTGTGCATGAACATTTGATGTTTGATTTGGTCTGGGTGTTCCTATGTATAATGTGTGTGTATTTACAGGAAAAAAAAATAGTATATATGTATTTATATCAGTTGTCTAGTAGCCATAGTGCAAGCTCTGCTTAGTTTGGGACTAGATGGCGTTGTGTGTATGTGGTAGAATATTATTATTATAAAACGGTACTCTTATAACGCATTTTCATATTACGCGATTTCAATCCCTTATATAGCACGTGTATTCCCCCATATAACGCGGGAATTTCCCACGTTATATTTCTGTTCTGTGAAATTTATAATGATTTGTGGAGTTCATAATTAGTTTATTCGTTCATAATTCGATTTAAACCCCCCCTTTAACGATAAGAGGAAAATGTGAATCATTGTTACAAGCGCGTTATACGAGAATACGCCCGTTTTCCTATAACGCGGAACATATCAAAACAACATCAAACAAAACTGTATATTTTACCGTGGAAGTGCTAAGCTTTCTTTAAAATAAATTATAGTGAAAAAAAGTAGATAATAATTTTGTATATGTTCAAAAACAAAAATCATGTCATCGTAAAAAAGCGTGGGTCACCCCATTTTTTACGATTTATTTATAATATAATAACTTTACTTTTACCAATATCTATCAATAAAATATTCTTACAACAATTGAGATCCTGCACCCCAAACATTTTTACGATTAAATGATTTTTATTTTTGGACTTATAGAAAACTATTTTCTACTTTTTAGTTCTTCTTCTGTTAGTTACAAAAGAAGAAGAAACAAGTTTTTAGTTTTTTAAACTATTTTTTTTCTTTTTTAGTCATTAACGATGATTATTCTCTCATTAAGACTAAAAAGTAACAACTTAGTAAGTCACATATGCTTCAGCACACGTCTCTTACTACATAGCAAAAGACACCGTATTTTTAGGTAAGGAAAAGCCGTTAATCCTGAAGATCCTGATGGGCCAAATTATCAAATTATTGTATTGTCTTCCGTCCTTGAAAAGTGTGCGAAATTTCAAGATAATTCGACATTTTGAAGTTGTTCAAAATCACTTTCGAAGATTTCGTTACATACATATATACATTCCAAGCTAAAAAAAACGGCGGGTTGCACTCCGGGAGTGCCGGCAGAAGTGAAAACTTGAATTCTAACGTTGTGCATTTTTGATATTTTGGAATGGTTAGGGAATAATTTTGCACGAATTGCTTTAATTATCAGTATAAAAGTTATTATAGTATTTATTGCGCTATCGTACACAAACATGACAATTTATCGAGACGCTGTCACCATCCATGGATGCGCGTGGCACGCTGTAACATAATCACACACGAACATTCGCGCAAGCGCCCTGCGCCGCCTAAACGAAACAGCAGGCGCAGGCATACATTTTCGCCGCGCCGTAGAGAGGGGGAGACTTCCTCTCCTACGCCGCGCCGGCTGTCTCCTCTCCATCCGTCTTACGAATTTTCGATCAAGTCATGTGTCCTGACGCGAGTTTAACATTTTTTACCCGTTAAAAAAAAAAGTGTACAACGCCGCTAAAGAAGTTTTCACTTCAATAAAAGCGTGTTAGAAAATATAATAGTCTGTAAGGCAGACTTGAAAGCACTCGGATCCACTCGTAATACAGGTATTTAGCTTAGCTTACCTGGAGGGTTTAACAATTACCTACTAATACTTGTAATGTTGGGTAGTCTTTAAAAAAAGTATTATTATTCTTCTGTCCCCAGGTCTTAGGCCAGACCCAAGACCATCGCCACCGTGTGCTGGTGGCTGCTGCTAAGAACATCAAGAACTGGTTCGTCAAGGTGCGCAAGATCAAGGCCATTTATCACACACTCAACTTGTTCAATCTGGACGTGACGCAGAAGTGTCTCATCGCTGAGTGCTGGGTGCCAGCTCTGGATATGGAGACCATCCAGTTAGCCTTGAGGAGAGGAACGGTAAGCTAATTTTTTCTAAGATACCTATGTATATTAGTTTTAGAATTAAATACAATCTGTGCTTAGATTTCTATCTATTGACGGATATTCAAAAACAAAAATAAATTTCAATAAAGGTTTAATTATTATAATAGCTTTTAAAAGTCCACTGCTGGACATAGATAGGGTTTGTGTCAAGTTTTCCTTCTCTTTGCTGTGCTGTTGGCGTGCGTAGTTTGCTCCCTTAGACACTTACGACACCCACGGTATGAATAGGTGTGGTGACACTCCGTATTCTTAATCGGTCACCACGCAAGGTTTAAATTATTGTTTTAATGTTTTTAATTATTTTGCTCTTTAGGAACGTAGCGGCAGCTCAGTCCCTCCCATCTTGAACCGCATGGAGACGGCCGAAGACCCTCCCTCGTACAACCGAACGAATAAGTTCACGTCAGCCTTTCAGAACCTCATCTATGCATACGGAGTGGCCACCTACAGAGAAGTAAACCCTGGTATGTGACTGACTACCTACAGTTTATTGCATCGGGGCATTCTAGCGCCCAGGCGCGTGCTTATTTAATTACTAGCTGAGACCCGCGGTGTTACCCGCAATTGTTGTTATAACCGCGGGCAACGCCCAACAAACAGACGGACAGACAGACAAAAATTGTAAAAAATGTTATTTTGGCATATGTACCGTGTAAACATACATATGCATTTAGTAAAAAGCGGTTATTTTAATATTACAAACAAACACTCCAATTTTATTTATTTGTATAGACTAGCTGCCCAGCAAACGTTGTTCTGCTATTTACATTATTATTATTATTTTTTTGAATTTCTTAAAATCCGTTCTTAGCTGACCTCTACTCGGTGAAAAGAATATCCTACCAAATTTCAAGTCTTTAGCTCTAATGGTTCCAGAGATATCGTGATGAGTGTCTATATACGTGGAAATCTCTTATATATATATATATATAGATTATAATGTCATCCCCAGCCCCATACACAATCATCACGTTCCCGTTTCTGTTCGCGGTGATGTTCGGTGATCTCGGCCACGGTGCGCTGATGGCCCTCTTCGGCTTTTGGATGTGCTACAAGGAGAAACCACTGCAAGCTAAGAAAATTGACTCTGAGGTATATTTCTTTTCTGTTCTATATTGTCATTAAAAAACTGTAAATATTCGGAAGTGACTAAACAACTATAGTCCATCAACGTCGTGCGCGACCGTCCTGCGGGGTGACAGACGGTGGCGGGGACGAGGTACTCAAGATGTCAGCGGGTAGCGGGTGGTGTAGCGGGGAAGGGAATCGTGTGTAGCCGTGAGCTAGAATGACTCGCTACCTCGCCCCCGCCACTGTCTGTCACCCCGCGGGACGGTCGCGCACGAGATTGCCGGGTTATAACACATTAACATTTTTACTGGCACTAATATGGAATAAAAGTTAATACGAATTTAATATGTTTACAATACGGGCCTGTTGGTTCAGTAATCGGTGACCCTGACTGCTAAACTGGAGGTCGTGGGTTCGATTCCCACCCAGGAAAATATTGTGTGATAAGCACGGTCATTTCTGCTGTGTCTGGATGTAATTTATCTATAATATGTATGTATTTAAAAATATATAAGTATATTTATCAGCAGTCTGGTTACCATAGTACAGGCTCTGCCCAATTTGGGATCAGACGGCCGTGTGTAAGATGTGTAAGATATACAAAATAATATATATATTTAAATTAATGTATTTAAAATTTCTAAATTTAGATATACAAATAATATTATATGTACATAATTCGTAAAATTAAAAAATCGGTTGATTCTTAAGTCATACCTACATCAACACATAAAATATAAATATGAATAGATATGATCATATTATATTAATTATATAATTTGAATTAAGAACCGGACATTTTATTATTGTAAACATTTACACAAATAGTTAATTAATTAAAAAAAAAACTCGGTAGGTAAGTTATTTTGAAACTTTTTGTTAATATTATATTTAGCTTCAAAACTTTGGTACATTGAAAAGAAAACACCTGAAATGTTCCAGTGACTTACATAATGTATGTGTAGATCAGTGATTACCAAAGTGGTCGAGTATAGAACCCTTGGGGTCGAAATTGGTTTCCCAGGGATCAACATAAATGAAAACTGATTTTGGGTGTCGACGAGGTCTAAAAATTGACCCCTCTTGTTATAAGAATGACTAATATTTTAGTAAGAAGTGTCATTGTTGTAACTTAAAGTCGATAAGCGTGCAGTAATTTCGCTATGGGGGTCTGACGTATCAGTTCATTTTAGAAAAGGGGTCTCTTGCCCAAAATAGTTTATAATCCCTGGACTGTAGATAATAGTATGGGCTGGCTCGACCGAAGCGATACCGCAGCCTTATAGATATCCAGTGTTTATTTTGTTGCTTTTCACGAGGGGGAAGGGGGGCTCAATCAAAGGACACAGGTCTCTTAAGTTGCAGGTGTTCATGGGCATCGGTAGTCACTTACCATCAGGTGACTCGTCTGCCCCCTCTATCATTAAAAAATAATAATTACACAGTCCTCGAGTGAGTATACTATAACAAAATATTAATATGTCCTCTAGATCTGGAGCATCTTCTTCGGCGGTCGGTACATCATCCTGCTGATGGGGCTGTTCTCCATGTACACCGGTTTGATCTACAACGACATATTCTCCAAGTCATTGAACATCTTCGGTTCGTCGTGGCGCAACAACTATAACGAGTCAACGCTCACCTCCAACAAGCTGCTGCAGCTCAACCCTGACTCCTGGGACTACCTGCAGTCGCCCTATCCCTTCGGTATTGATCCTGTGTGGCAGGTAAGATTCAGTTCCCCGTCTGTTTATTGCAAGACCCAAATGTTGTGTATTTTTTATTTATTACTAGCTTTGCTAGCTCCGCTCGCGTCTTCCATGTCATGGCTATGTCATTCCTTAAAAATCACAATATCTATATATATATATATATATATATATATATATATATATAACCCAAATTTCTTTAGAATCGCTTCAGCATAGCAGACAGACAGAATTATTGGTATTAGTATTGGTTGTAGGCTTCGGTTTCCGCATTTAGACTCAAGAGTGGTCCTTTATGCGTCGACGACTGGTGAGCTAGGTGAGCTAACCAAGCTCCTTCCAGAAGCTTAGAAGCCTCCTGGGGTGTTCCAGGAGCGATTATGTATCGGGAATGATACTTGCCCGTTGTGTGGCCACTCCCTCGCATTCCAGGATTACGTGGGCGGCCATTTCTTCTGCTTTCAGACATCCCCTGCACAGAGGGCTGTCCGTCGTATTATGTTATATTATGTTACAGACAGAATTACTTTCGCATTTATGCTATCAGCCTTGGAACTCGCAACAAAATTAATCAGAAGTAAATTGGAGGATTAGGAAATTTAATAACTATTTAGACTACAAAAACTATCCGTGTGGTGATGGATAAAGAGTACGGAATGTCACCACCCATATTCATCCCGTGGGTGTTGTAAGAGCCGACTAAGGGAGCCAACTACGCAGGACGATATCACTGCAAAGAGAAGGATAACTTGACACAAACCCTATACCAACCTGTCTGGTCAGTTTGGTATAGTAGGCCAAAACCTCATTTCTAAGGAGAGGTCTGTGTCCAGCAGTAGACTAATATAGGCTGTTGATGATGATGATTAGACTACAATATGGGGTTTTTCAAGAAAATTATGTTTAGGTTTTAAAAGAAACCTCAAACCGCGTATGAGTCCCCTGAAACCATCACCTGTAGTTTACTTTAACACTTATTTTTTATTGGTAATATCAATAACATTTATCTTGTATTGTCTCCAGCTTGCCGAGGCCAACAAAATCATTTTCATGAATGCCTTTAAAATGAAGATCTCCATCATCATCGGTGTGTTCCACATGTTGTTCGGTGTCTGTCTCTCGCTGTGGAACCATGTGTGAGTACAATACATAACATTGTATAATGCCTGTCTGTAAATAACTTGCTGTCGGTCTGATGATAGCTGACAGAAAAACAAATCCCATAACTAAATATAATATTTATAACTACTCCATAACTATAACGACTACTGCATTCCAACGATATCAACTACTGACAGTTATGGTAACTGTCAGCTGTCACTGGATAGGCCAAAACCATAGATTTCTTAGAATGGACTGAACAAAACCTTTATTAATTATGACGCTCTTTAGAAAGTTATTGTGCTTCCTATAGGTACAACAAAGTTTTTTTTATGTTTGAGTTGCAGATGAGCGGCAATACGTAATGTAAATATTGCTTTTTTAATATAGGTTTCTTAGGATAAAATAATTAACCAAGTTTTCAAATTGAGTCAAATAGCCTATTTCTTATAAATTGATTATTAATTATTTATCTTTCCTTTCTATAATTGCAACTAGAGGTAATTTTATACTAATATTTAATAATAAACAACTTTTCAGTTACTTCAAACGCCGCATCAGTATCTACGTGGAGTTCATCCCACAGATCATGTTCCTTACCCTGCTATTCTTCTACATGGTGCTGCTCATGTTCATCAAGTGGACCAGCTACGGACCCAGCCCTGCTTTGAACTTCAACACGTCTCTCCCAGGTACGTCTTCTAAGAGCTAGAAAAAGAAACTGGTTCTTCATAAACCAATAGGTTATTACAATTGGCCTGTTGGTTTAGTAGTTAGCGATGTTGACTCCTAAGCCAGAGGACGTGGGTTCGATTCCCATCCAGGAAAAATATTGTGTGCTGAGCGCGATCATTTGTTCTGGGTCTGGGTGTAATTTATCCAAAAAGTAAAAGTCTTTAAAAATAGGTCTATTTAGAAATACCCAGTTGACCATAAACCGGAGTTGGAAACCGGCACGGAAAATTTGGTCCTTCCTTTTCCTTTGGCCCTTCGAGCCGGAACCTAACTTAGAGGTGGCTATTTTTAATCATATCGTCAACAGACGGTTCATCTTCTAATGTTATATATGTCCTTAAAGTCTTATTGACACGTTTAATTTTGTGGCAAACTTCTAGGATAGCTCTTTATTTTCCTATAAACATTGGTTTAGTTATATTGTATGTTTGTATCCGGCAGAGGTGGTGAGGAGCAGCGGATACTGTGCCCCCTCAATTCTGATCACGTTCATCAACATGATGCTGTTCAAGCACGACGAGAATGCGCGCGAGGTCTGCGACGAAGTCATGTTTGCAGGACAGATGACCATACAGAAGGTACTATACACTTATTTAATTAAATAATTTTTAAATGGGCCGGCTCCAAATCTTCAAGAAAAGCGCGTACAAAGAGTTCGATTAAAGGCCGGGAACGCGCTTGTGACTCCTGAGTAGCAGGCGTACATGGGCGACGGTAGTTGCTTACCATCAGGTGACCCCGTTGGCTCACTTGTCCCCCCTATATATATAACTTTTTTATTAACTAAACTAAAACTCAAAAAAAATCTACTACGAGTACTAACCAGAAATCATTTACACGTGTTTGAATCAGGTTAATAACAGTACTGATTGATATAGTGACGGATTAAGAATACAGAGTGTCACCACCCCTAATCATCCCGTGGGTGTCGTAAGAGCCGACTAAGGAAGAAAAATACGCAGGACAACAGCACTGCAGAGAGAAGGAAAACTTGACACAAACCCTTTTGTTTTTTGCACGTGTGGAAATCCCATTGGACCGTCACCCCGCCGGGGTTCTTTATTCGGCGGGGCGGTGTGTCGAACTCGAACCGACTAAAACCACACGGTGTGCCCTCTTTGCGCTTCTATTTTAGGGGGGTCCAGGTAGCTATCTCCTTCTGGACCCCTCCCAGCGCCGGCCCGCTCCTGGTGCGGGCTCCGTCTCCAGTTACTTGACACAAACCCTACACCAACCCGTCAGCGTGGTATAGTAGGCCAAAACCTACTTTCTAAGGAGAGACCTATGGCCAGCAGTGGACTATTAAAGCCTGTTGTATGTGTGAGTGTAATTACAGTATGTTTGTGATTTTCCGCAGATGTTTGTGATCATTGCGCTGCTGTGTGTGCCAGTCATGTTGTTCGGCAAACCTTACTTCATCATGAAGGATCAGAAACAGAGAGCCGTAAGTACAACCATGTATACTAATATTATAAAGCTGAAGAGTTTGTTTGTTTGTTTGAACGCGCTAATCTCAGGAACTACTGGTCCGATTTGAAAAATTCTTTAAGTGTTAGATAGCCCATTTATCGAGGAAGGCTATAGGTTATATATCATCACGCTAAGACCAATAGGAGCGGAGCACCAATGAAGAATGTTTCAAAAACGGAGAAAATTTATTACTATTGAGAGACGCAGACGAAGTTGCGCGAGTCAGCTAGTTTATTATAATATTGTTATGCGTAATTTTCAAAATATATAATAAATTTTAGAATTTATATAAATAAATATAAAAGATTGACCTTTAAAAGTGTCTGAATATATTTAAATCAAATAAATCATTGAATTCTTTGATAAAATCATAATTTAATTTTTAATCTTTTCATGCTACCATTTTGATAGCTTGCTGTAAGTATTGGACTTTGATTTTAGTAACGAAAAGCTTTTAATTAAACATTATTCCAAAAATATTTTAATTCGTATTGTAACATATTGTTAAAAAAATAATCTTAAACATTTTTTTTAAATCATAGACTAAAGTCAGTATACATAATATTATTATAATAATAAATTGTTAATAAATGGTATCTCTTTATGCTTTTAGTTTCTATGTCCAAAACGTTTAAAAAACCATTTTGTGTATTAGCGTCAGGGTCACCAGCCCGTGGACGGCGCGGCTGAGAACGGTTGTGCCGGCGGAGCTGTTGCGCCTGCGCACGGACACCAGGACGAAGAGATCACCGAGGTGTTCATCCATCAGGTACGGGACTCATATCTTCTGTTTTTGTATTGACTGTGCAGATAGTGCAAAAGTTAAAATGTTTGCGTCGCAGAATGGGTATCGACGATACGGGCTTCGATATCCACGAGGAGCGTAACTAAACGCGATGGACGAGTAGTTATCCTAAGTCCGCCTGATATTTATCGTCCGTCGTTTGAATATAATGAAGCCACTAGAGACGAAGTAATCTTTTTTTAGGAAATTGATTGATCAATGATGAATGGTATGAGAGATATAATGTGGTCTGTGGTGCAGGGTATCCACACGATCGAGTACGTGCTGGGCAGCGTGTCTCACACGGCCTCGTACCTGCGCCTGTGGGCGCTGTCGCTTGCGCACGCGCAGCTCGCCGAGGTGGCCTGGAACATGCTGCTACGGAAAGGTATGGCGGACAAACCTCTAATCGGATTCTGCCGTTTTATACTTGCGACTTTATAACGTTACATAATGATGTGTCCTCCAGGTCTGCAGAGTCCGGGCTACGAAGGCGGTATCATGCTGTACGTGGTGTTCGCGGGCTGGGCCGCCATCTCCGTATCCATCCTCGTGCTGATGGAGGGGCTGTCCGCTTTCCTTCACACGCTACGTTTGCATTGGTAGGTCCCGTTATAAAATTAAATACGTAGCCGACGTCCCTGTTTACTAACATTGAACATATTTTTAAGACTAACTTGTTGGACACAGTAGCCACATTAACACTGCAGGTTCGAACCCCATCTAATGCAATACTGACCATATTAATTTTCACATTTGTATTCTACATATTCAAATACAAAACGAATATACATTTTTCAAGATAAATTCTAAGATCTTTTTTACGGTAGAACCTTGGTTAGCAACATCAGGATTCGCGGATTGGGTATATTTCAATATTTTTGCATTAATCTTATATATTTATCAAAATTCCTATTAACCTTTTCAGCCAACCTAAACTCCTACCACGTATCGGAAATCGCCCTTACCTATCTTTGAACTGATCCACAAACAGCTTAACTAAATCTTACACGTATGTCCTCAGGGTGGAGTTCCAGAGTAAATTCTACGCGGGCGAAGGGTACCTGTTCCAACCATTCTCCTTCGAGATAATACTCGACTCGGCCGGCCAGGGTGAGGAGTAGGCGCCATATTACATCAACACTATTTACTGTTTCATCACTATTGCAATCATTAAAGTAAATTAGCAGAGGTTATACCACATCTAGCGAAATGATTGCAAAATAGAACTGAAAATGTAATCTATATTTATCATAGATGTTTATTTGTAAAATAGGATGTTGTATTGATGAATCTTTCTAAAAAAAAGTTGAAATATTGTTAACAATTTTAAATAGTTCTATTTAAGGTAAAGTCTATTAACAAAGTATATTAATATCCTATTAAATTTGGGAATAGAATTTCCTAGTAGTTCCTAACTAGTTAAAAGTTAGTGACTTTGAAATAGTGTATTTTGTTCAACTTTTGTAACGAGCCGTTGATTTAAGGATGTTCATTTCGATTGGTTTATGTTTAAGTAAACGGTATAACAATACCTTTTTTTAACTCTTTTTGTATTTTTTTAAATATTTAATATGGTGAATTGAACGTTATTGTAAAAATATTTAACATTTTAATATCTAAAAAACAACCAATCTACTCTTCCTAATCATTAAAATTAATCATCAAAGTAGCAGTTATACTGTACTTTTACAATGTAAACATGTATACAAGTCTATTGTCAGATCTTCTGATGCTTTTCTTTGAGTGATGAAACAGTATAGTTATGTCTGGAAGAAGTAATTATGTACCCGTTTTAATGATTGTAGGTTTTCGCTTTAAATAATCATATATACAATGTTTGGCGGCTTTTGAAGACTCGATATAATCGTGCAGTTATATTAGACATGTAACTAGTCGTTGATTCTTTATATTTATAATGTAATAATATTCAACTTAAATAATAAATACGAAAACAATTCAAAATATTTATTTCCGGGGGTACAAATTACATATAAAAACAATTTTTTCTTTTATATTTTCATAGTTTAAATATTTGTTTAATCCCAATGTTTTTTAAGCCTTAAATGTGTTAACGCCTATACCCCAGTAAGAATAAATTGTACTTAAAATATAATAATTTGTATTTCAGTAGTTGTCAAATAGTTTCAATAACGGCAGTTACCGTGTCTCAATAAAACATTATCGTAAACGTGTTTTTTTATTTAAATTATATACATGTATTCTGAGATAATGAGATAAACATTTATGTGATGTATAATGGCGGTGTTGTATATATACAATAATACTTGAATATTTGTATTTGTTGTTGCAATAATGTCAGACGCTCTCTGTTTAAATACTGAATGTCATTCCACTTGTAGTTCCAAGTAACCGACTAGTGCTCCGATGAGTGTCATGTAGCATAGGTTTATGGTGATAATTAAAGATTTTTTAGTAGCATTCGATCATTTGTTTTATTTAATAACTCCTCGTCTCGTCTGTTTCTTTGTAGAAAACCTAACTTTAGGTAGACAAGAGATAGTAATTATTAAAGTTTTTTTGTACTAAAATGTTTAACACTTTATAATAACTTGACACTTATCACACATACGGTCGTCTGATCCCAAACTAGGTAGAGCCTGTATTTCTGTAACTAGACTGCTGATAAACATATTATCTAAATACATACATAAAATAGATAAATTACACTCAGTGTCTGAGTACACATACATCTAACATCATAACGTAAGTGATTAGCTCACCGATGTCGCTGCTCCTGATTCGTTTTGTCGTATTTAACTCCGAGAAACAGACCTAGAATGTGCCAATTCCCTTTTGGCAGTGCTTTAACCAAATCTGGGATGGGTACGGCAGATGAATCATAAAAGCAAAATTAATTAATGAGGTATTTTAGTGAGTCTATGATAGACAGATAGAATGATGTGATGAAACCGTGTGAGTAGAAAGATTTAGGAAGAATCTATGATGGAATTCTGCGATTGGTTGAGGATGACGAGAAGATGAGAGAAGAATTTGATTGACCTGTCTCTCTAATCTGAATATAAGTGAGAGAGCGTCTACGCGTACCGTACAATAATTGTGGTACGTATAGGCCCTAGGCAACAGTAGGTACAGGGACATTAAAAATAGTAAAAGTGTTGGTACTATTTATATTCTAACAATACTTGGTGTTTATTTTAAGATACTGTAGCGTTCTTGGATATTTTTATGACACTATATGGAGGTGAAAAAAACTAGTCATATTCGGCACCAATGGTGATGCTGATATCGCCGGGGAGGACATTCGTCTTATGGTACCAGCGATTCGTGTCCACTACCACTGAAACAGAAACATAATGTATTATTATTCGTCTAAGTCTTACTTTAAAGTACCTTCTTAGACTTACGCTAAAAAACTGTTTGACATCTGTTTTCTCTAAGGATGATGCCACGACCATAATGATGCCCCATCATTATGGTCGAAGTAGCCCCTCTGCCGAAGCATGGATCTCCCACGATTACTATCCGTAACGATTCTACAAGTAACTTCCACTCTCAGAAAGCATTGTATTTCCATAAATAATTTCGTAGTCTACTTACATATTTCTCCAGGCGAGACTGTAAAGGTGATCCATGTGCATTTGTAGAGGCACTCCGGCGGCGGGGCCAGCTGCCACTCCTTGCGTCCGCGCACCTGCGCCTGCCAGGACATGTGCTTCACTGAGTCCACCTAAAAAGAAATGAATTTTACCGAACTTGGCAATCTGCTTTTTTATCAGATGAAAAAAAAAATGTAGGGCTACAAACAATTACACTCATGACATACTTTTTTTTTGTTGCCAGTGTAGAAAATCCCTTCGGATCTTCTGCTCCTTGGGGACTCAGGAGCCAGGAGGATGTGACGATTTCACTAAAAACCACCCTGACGGTCAGCCTCGGGCGTCCTACTCTGGGAGGACACGGACCATGTTATTTCAGGTCCTCCACGAAACGACACCACGCTTAATCAGGCCCTATCCCAGGGGAAATTACTTCGCAGAACGACCTCCGTCCTCTATAAGCGCAGGCCCTGGGGGTGACAGGTGAGGCCATCTGTCACCCTAGCAGAAGCAGGCCGGGGTGGCACAAGCGTGTTGCGAAGCGCGCTCGCTTCCAGGGAGCACAGGGAACATGGGGTTCCCACACGGGGGGGGGGGGAGTCGTCTACTCGTCTGTAGATGACCCGAGGTATGTCGGGGCACCAGGGACTTCCTTTCTAGGGTATACCTGGTTCCCCGGCTATTAGTACCCGAGACGGCGTGCGGTTTTAGTCGGTTCGAGTCCAACATGCCAATGACAGGTGGTATCGGAGGGGATTTCCGCACGGAAAAAAAAAAAGGGGAAATTACTTCTCCAAACTGATGACTTACTACTCAAATTATAATATTCTTACAGTGCAATCAGCTACGATTTCCGCAAAATGATATACTCTCGGGTACCAGTAGCCGGGAAACCAGGTGTACCTTAGAAAGGAAATCCCTGGAACCCCGACGGAAGGTCTTCCCCCACCCTAGAATCAGATTTTGGGCTCCAGCAATATCGCTCGGTGAAAAACACTAAAAGCATTGCTTTACAGCGGTGTTCCATGAGGTCGTGGTATGACCCCCGAGAACCGACCCATTTGTGACCAAGCGTGGCTCTCCCAAGGATAATTTAGCGAACTCTCGAGCTTCAAAAAATAGTTCATCATCAACAGCCTATAGCAGTCCACTACTGGACATAGGCCTCTCCTTAAAAACAGTTATTCAGGTCAACTAGATACCAGGGTTACCTCCACTCATATACGTGAATTTTTTTTCTAGTAATAGAGGCTAAGTATTATCATCAACATCCTTTAGAAAGGAGGTTTTGGGCTACTATACCATGGCCTATTCCCTAAATAAAGCTTACAAATCAAAAATACACCATGTAACAACAGGCGTACCGCAGGGTTCTATTTTGGGTCCCATTCTGTTTCTAGTATTTGTAAATGATCTCATAAATTTCGCACAGAGCTTAAATTCAAATCCTCAGCTAGTTGTGTTTGCCGATGACACTAATGCAATAATAAGTGCAAGTGATTTAGAATTACTAAATCATAAAGTTAACAATGTCTTGTATGAATTCCACAGATGGTTTGCAGCAAATAGGTTAGTTATGAATACTACAAAAACAAACATTATTTTGTTCAAGTCTACTGCCCGTAATACAGATAGCTTGGCTGTACAATTTATGGGAGACAAAATTGACAATGTAAACACAGTCAAATTCTTAGGCGTACATATAGACTCGTTGCTGAATTGGCAAAGAGAACTAGATGCAATTGAGGAAACAATATCATCCTCTTGCTATGCCCTTAGGAGTTTAAGAGAAGAAGTTAGCATCAGTCAACTAAGGACTGTATATTGTGCTCTAGTCGAATCAAGGTTAAGATACAGTGTCCAGTTCTAGGGTAATAGTTACAAGTATAATTGTGAAAAGGCCTTCATCATACAAAACGGGCAATTAGAACTATGGTCCGAATACCGCAGTGGGAGTCATGTAGAGAGCATTTCAAAGAACTATCCATACTAACAGTTCCTTGTTTATACATACAGACCGTACTAAGCCAACTGTCAAAATACATTACTGATTTTGAAACTCAAGATGAAAGGTTAATCAGAGAGAGTACTCGAAGAAAGAACTTGAGAAACAATTTTATACCAACATTAAATATAGCAAAGCATTGTGCGCGTTATCAAAGTGTGAAACTATTTAATTGCCTACCTGCAGAAATAAAAATGGAAATCTATAAGACCTATAAGACACACATATTTAAAAAATGAGTTAAAGCCTTCTTATTGGAAAAATGTTATTATTCTGTAAATGAATTTACTGGCTCATCTTGTAACTGACATTAAAATCCTAGGGACATGTTAGGGATATAATTATTGTGTGATCTCTTGTTTCCTTTGACATGACAATTCTAACTGGCATTTAGTTTGCATTAAGTACCTGTTTGAAATTTAATTTATTTTGTTTGACATTATTATTTTTGACATCGAGTGATTCATTTTGTTGATATGACTGGTTGGAGTTGTGAATGTTAAATGTATATTTGAAATGTTTTTAACTTATTTTAGATGGTTTAATGTGAATTGTTTTTAGAGATTAAGTATATGTTACTTTTCTTTTCTCACTATTATGAAGTATTATATTCAGACACAATTGTAATAAATTGTTAATGAATTAAATAAATAATAATAATAAATAATACCAAAACTCTTTATACTATAGCCTTCTATAGCTATTCATGCCTTGCCGATATCTATAAGAAGTGCCCGAACACTGACGGCATTTAAAAATATGGTCAAAGTTAGCTTTGCTTCTGATAACTGTAGGTAAATGACTAATGTTTTCATGGTTATCAATAAAAATTGTTTATACTTATGGTGTATATATAATATATATGTATTTGTATGTATGTGTATATAAACGTGTGGTGACGGATTAATAATACAGTGTCACTACCCCTATTCATCCCGTGGGTGTCGTAAGAGCCGACTAACTGAGTAAACTACGCAGGAAAACAGCACTGCAAAGAGAAGGAAAACTTGAAACAAACCCTATACCAACCCGTCTGGCCAGCGTGGTATAGTAGGCCAAAACCTCCTTTCTAAGGAGAGGCCTATGTTCAGCAGTGGACTAGTAGAGGCTGTTGATGATCATGTATGTATAATTACATAATGTATATTTATTTATTTTTACACTACGTTAGCTTCAATACACCTAGACTACCCACTGTTTCTTCTTATCTACTGTCGATTTGTCCATGCAAGGGTTGCCTGTAAGAGATTGCTATTAGCAATAAGGCCGCCCATTGTACATATCCATCTGTAATATTTAACCAACTTACTGTAAAAGGTGTACAATAAAGCATATTCTTTTCTATTCCTACGCGAACTTTCATTGCGCGATGCAGGATCAGTAGTTACTACATTTCGCTAGGTGACGCTGAAGTGTATTTTTGTGAAAAGTATAATAGCCTTATGCGTATACTCACATGCATATGCGCCCCCTGTCCAGGTCCTCCCATAAATATCCAGTCTACCATATCACTTTCAGCTGTTTTGGGCAGGAAATACGGCCGATTATAGTAGGATCTCAGCAGCCTCGTCTCCTCATCGTAGCAAGTACTCCACCCTACATACCAGGGTTCGCCTGACAGGTTGGCTCTAGCTTCGTCCATGTCAAAAACTTCTTGCAGAGAGTTGAGTCCAGACTTGTACGCGAAATAGAAGCAGTCGTTTATTTGTTTCCCCATTTTGTCTCTGTTGTAGAAGTTAGCGAAGAAATTGAAGTTGAATTCCTATAACAATGTAACAATTAACGGTTTATGTTGAAACTTGAAGAGTTTGTTTTATTGTTTGTTGCGAAGATCTAGAAACCATTTGACTGATATGAAAAAACTTTTTGAGTTAGATAGCATGTTTATTGAGACATGTTTTGTACTTTATTATATCCTTCTACGCATTATTAGAGTACAGTGACAATGGTCGAAATTAATCCTAAAGTTTTCTATACTTTACAGGCAAATGGTTTGAGATTTTTAATACGATTGAAGCGCTGCAGCGCCATTGATAGTTATTAAATATCAATTAATGATAATACTAATATTATAAACACAAATGCGAGTTTTTTTGTTAAACTTTCGGCCCTGCCAATCAATAGGCCATGACACGCCTACACGTTCTCGAGGGTACAAGAAAGGTTATATTATAGGTAAGTCCTTCTTATCTAGAAGAATAAAATCATTTAACCTCAAAAGGATACATGACTTTTTTGACTTAACGCGGGAAAACCTCGTTTCTTATACCTACAAGTTATTCCGTATATGATAGTCTCACCTTCTGCTAAGTAGCTAAACGCTCTCGCGTTGAAAGCATCGCTGTAAGCTTTAGTAGGTTTTACAAACTTACTTTCAGAGCCTTCCAGTGTTTGGCAGCATCAGTGACAATAACAGGTGTAGTGCTGTATGCGTATTTCTCGAACTCTTCAGCGGTGGTGTTTGCGAGACGGACCACCTCGCTTACCCTCGCGCACATTGAACAGTCCTCCGGTGGACGAAATGCTGACTTCGAGAACGACGGCAGTTGCAAGACACAGTTCTGTAAATAGAGTTTGTATCAGAATTTTATAGATTTCATCTATTCATTCAGATATAACCCTCCTCCTCCTGACCTCCTCTACGCTCGAAGTAGTTGACGACTAAGTTTACGAGGTACCTAGGACAAACTATCTAGTTAGGTATGTCCAAAAGCGAAATAGAGGTCAATCGTCGAATCCAACTAGGTTGGGCAGCGTTAGGGAAGCTGCGTGACATTTTCTCGTCTCTAATACCGCAGTGACCTAACATAAAAGTTTTTGACCAGTGCGTGTTGGCAGTGATGACATATATTGCAGAGACTTGGTCACTCACAATGGGCTACATAAGAAGGCTCGGTCTTTCATTGCGTGATCGAATCAGGAATGAGGCGTTTGGTAGACGAACCAAGGTCACCGACAGTGCCTGGAGAATTGCCAAACTTGAGTGGCAGTGGGCGGGGCACATTGCTCGTGGAAACGATGGCAACAAAGTTCTCGAGAGGTTCGAAAACTCATCGTGGGCCCCCACAAGGTGGTACGGTGACCTGGTGAAGGCCGCAGGAAGCAGTTGGATGCGGGCAGTACAGGACCGGTTGTTGTGGCGAACCTTGGGGAAGGCTTATGTTAGATGATTAGATTGATGATGATTGATGTTAGATTGTTGTTAGATGATGATGAGGATGATTCAGATATAAATCTATAACGGACTTTTTTCATCATAAAATATACTACTGTGCGCTTTTCTAGAAACAAATTGTCACCTGCGATCTTTCTGGACCGACACGACCTCCAAAGCTTTAAGAAAAGAGTATACTCCCACCTCAAAGGTTATAACATGCTTTTGACTCAATTGCAGGAGTCCTTGGTCGACGGTAGTCTCTTACTATCACGTCTATCTACTTTTCTGCAACCTTAACTATAGAATAGGGCTTAAATCCCTGAAATACATACTTAGTGTAAAATTATACAAAAAAAATACATTCGTATCTGACCGATAAATGCGTTAGTGAGTGTGTGGATGGATGTTCATTCTTAATCTAGCTAGAACGGGTGAACGGATTTAACTCAGATATAAATTACAGTCAGGAATATACCTGGTAACTTTTTTTTTTATTCCAGAAAAAAACATTTACATAATCTTGCCACGGGCGAAACCGTATAATCAAATCACTCACACCATGTCAAGTTTATGAATGGAAAGTTAGCTGGAAGGAAATAATAATCGATGGCATAAAAATGCCTATAACTTGACATGTAACCTTGCTTAGTCTTGCTTAATATATTTTGTTTTTTCTTCTAATAATCAATACTAAAATGATTTCCACAAAACCATTTAACTGACTGAGCATATTCTAAGGATTTCTACAAAACTCAAACACATCCGTAAAAATCAAACTTACCGTTTGTCCAATAAGTTCATGCGAAATCCATTGAGCACTTAAGAGAGACACCAGTGTAACGACAACACTAGACAATAAATAAACTAACGATTTCGCTTTTAGTAAACCAAAACCAGTCTTATCACTCTTGGAAACTTCGAGGCGGGAAACGTAAGAATTGTTCAATTTTAAGCTGTCGATTTTGTTAATAATTTTCTGTAGTTTCAGTTCGGCTGTTTTGTAATTTTTCGAGCAAGTCTTCGGTCGCAATGACTGGTTCATTGTGGTCTGTTGCGAGTTTCGGGGTAGAATGGAAGAGGCCAGTTCAATTTCAACGGTTTTATACCCACAGGATTACTTAGAGCTGAAAATGGGTTTCTAGTTATATAGAGTTTGTTGAAGGGACTGTCCCAATAGAGCATGTTTAAACGCAGAGCCATTAACCACGCGGTAAATCATAATAACTAGAATTAATTAAATGTGAAGCGAGTTAGTATTGCTGTATAACTCTAGTTACCATCTGAATTTAGGAACCATGAGACTCGTATTTAAGCGATAAACTCAAATCTTATGCGCCTTTCTTAGACCATGAATTTTGTTAATAAAGCACACCTTTTCAAGATTATATATGATTATATTATACTAGATGTAACCTGCCACGCTTCGCTGTGGCACATTGTGTTTGCATTGAGATTATTCATTTTTATTATACCTACACTAGCTTTTGTTATTGTAAACGAGAATAATACATTATTTTACTTTAAAGTTAATTATTTACTTTTTTTTTTAAATTAAATCGCTTTTAGCTAAACAGCTCTAGGAGTGTCCCTGAAAATTGCTATAAATAAGGCGTAGCGGGTGCAATAAGTATGAAATTGAAATTCATTATCTGCGCGACACACAACTGTGTCCTCTCGTTACACGCCTCGACGCTTCACTGTCGCAACCTATCAATTTAACCTTTTTGTAAGGTGTCAACCCAGAGAAGAGGGTGCCGGGGGCGATTAGGTTTTTCGCTCATTAGCAATGACTTTGTTACCAACCATTTGTTTCTTGTCACCTAGAATGTCTTACACTTAAATGAAACCAGGAATGTTATGAGTTTCTGATGTAATCGTAGGAAAAATGTTAATTTACTGACCCAACTAACTTTAGACCTATCTCAGTAGTACCAGTAGGTACTTAGCAAAATTTTTGAAAAAAATATGTATGATCCGTCACAAAGTTTTTTAAATATGAATACAAGGGGTCGCTCCATAAGTGTTGAGCTAGTAACACATATATTTGATGCCGATGAGGATGCCCACGATTCTCTAGGTATCTTTTGCGATTTATCTGAAGCTTTTCATTGTGTTGTTCATGAAATTACAGCACTATGGTATCAAAAATAAAGCACTGGATCTTCTTGCTTCATATCTGGATAATAGGATTCAGATAGTTGATATTAATGGTAAGCGGTCTCCAGGCTTTGAGGTAGAAATGGGCGTTCCACAAGGTTCTATTCTCGGCTCTATTCTGTTTTTAGTATATATTAACGACTTACCTCACCTTGTCAAGGACAGTCTCGAGATTGTGTTGTTTACAGATGATACATCACTACTATTTAGACTAAAACGGACACTTGCTAATTTCACAGACGTAAACAGCGCCATTTCGAAAGTGGTTCATTGGTTTGACGTCAACAATTTGCTTTTAAATGCACAACTAAGTGTATACGTTTCACTATGCCAAACGTCAAGCCAGTGAAAACTACTGTGATGATTAAGGATGTTGAGTTGGACCTTGTATATACTACGACATTTTTAGGTATAACACTAGATTCTAAAGCTACAGTGGGGCCCACATATTGATATTTTATCGAGTAGACTCAGCTCAGCAGCATACGCAGTAAGAAAAATTCGAGAGTTGACTGATGTTGATACAGCACAACTTGTCTACTTCAGTTATTTTCACAGCATTATGTCTGTATGTATTCAACTTGGGTGAATGCTGCCGACATTCAAACTATTTTTGTACTGCAAAAGAGAGCATATTTATAATTTAGGTAATCGTTGTTCATTGAGGCAGAAATTTGAAGAAACAAACATAATGACAGTGGCATGTCAATATATATGTGAAAATGTAATATATGTTCATAAAAACCAGGATAGCTTTTTGAAAAGAAGTGATACCAGAAATAGAAATAAACTTGTTCTACCTGCCTCTAGGCTCCAAAAGATAAACAAGTCGTTTTGAGGTCAATGTGTCCGATTTTATGATAAAATCCCAAATGGTATTCAAGACTTAAGTATTAACAAATTTAAATCCGCAATTAAACGTGAATTGTGTCGGAGAACCTATTACTCAATTGTGGATTACACAGAAGACAAAAATGGTTGGAGAGATGAATCACCTGAGATAATGCGGAATTCCAAAACTGCTCGAAATTTTCCTTGGCCGATTTCATCACGATCACTCTTGCCTATTAAGTCAATACTCCTCAATACTTATTAAGGACTAGCTGTACCCTGCTACGCTTCGCTGTGGGAATATTTGAAGTGTGTTATTTTTTGGTTTAAATCATTTATTCTCAAAAAGACAATAAAAAAGCCACTGGCATGAGAACACAAAATAATATTTTTGTTAAATTATTAGTTCGGTCACCGAAACAATAACTAAAATACATAGATTAACTGAGCTATGACAATAAAGACTTAATATTTTAGTTAAAAAGTAAAGTAGATTACTTTACTTTTACAATAAAATTACATACTATAAAAAAATTTAAAAATTTAATACAGATACAAATTAATTAGTATGTAATACAATCTAGGCATACTATTTATCGTATCAAAGTTTGAACTGAATCGGTGTAGAACACAAATCTTTTAATCTAGATAGATAGAAATTGATAAAAATTATACTTTAGGTAGTGTAAAACACGCTAAAAATTTAATATACCTATTTTCAAATTTAATTTTAGATTTGTTATTTGAGAACTCAGATGCTTTTGTAAGTAGTTGTTACGTAAGTAAGTAAGTGTTAGAGATTTTTTCGACATCACTCTAGTTGATTTTGAACTGCTGGAACAATATTACTACCATGAATAACTGTGGATTAACAATTGTTTTTTATGGCATAGTGTTAAAAAGCACCTGATGGCAAGTGATTGGACACCTACAGCAATAAGCGTGCTGCCACCTTTTGAGCCCAAACCTTTCCCCCCCCCCCCCCCCCCGCCATCACGTGGAGCGGAGGATTGTGCTCCGGTAACCTCACTCACTCGGTGAAAAGCAAGGAAAGAATTGCTTGGCTTGCAGGCCGTGGTAGCACTTCGGTGTGTGATAATAAGATATACATGCGATGTTACAATGCAACTGTAATATTCAAATTAGTAACAGTTAATAGCTACTTCTGTTATTAATTGGCGAATACACCCAGTACAACTATTACCATCAGACTTTGTTCAAACAAAGCTTTTCTGAATGCGACTATGTGTAGTCAGCCAATCATCTCAACAGATTTCTTATCTATTACTTTTATGATGAAAATTGCATACTTTTTTTTCGAAATCGTGATTAATAAAGGCTAAAATTACTTGAATTATCTTTCAGAGCGAATTTATCATTAAGTTTTTTAAAATAAACAGAATACCAACATTCTGTTCCAATTTTTGTTTAAAGACCACTGTGGAGGTTATTTTTGACCCTTTGACTAGCAAATTATGGTTATCTGTGGTTTTCACAAAGATAAAAATGACATATTTTAAAATACTAGAAAAAAAGTCAAGTCAGCATGATGTGCGTATGCCAACTTCGATTAACACGACTCGATTTGAAATTCTTGTAACTCGACCTGAACTGAACTCAAGTTAAACAAATCGAGTTTATAGGATGATGCTGATTAAACTATTATAAATACATTTGTTATTCTATCTAAGTCTATTTTTTGACAATAATCAATAGATATCTGTGTGGTGACTGTAACGGATTAAGAACACAGAGTGTAACCACTCACCACCCTTACTCATCCGTCGGTTTAGGAGCCCACTAAGGGAGCAAACAACGCAAGACTACAATTACTGCAAAAGGAATCAAAACTTGAAAACAACTATCTGGCCAGCGTGGTATAAAAGGCCGAAATCTTCTTTCAAAGGAGAGGACTATGCCCAGTAGTGGACTACTAAAGGTGCAAAAACGGTAGTCTAGTGAACAAAAATTTGGGAAGGGGAATTCATCCACGATATGCTGGCCTGGTGAGACAAAGAAATGTGAAAGTAAAGGGGACGAATATCGCAAGGGGTTTAGGCCAAGGGGTTGATGCGATTCAATCGATCAGTTTAAACGCCTTTTCAAAAAAGAGTTGGGGCTCTCCAATGACCACCCTGGCGTATTTTGCTTGGGATTTGGGCCTACACCCATACCAAAATTGTTTTAAAAAAATAAATTCTGCCCACATTTCAACCAACCCCATTTTAGTCCCAAAACAAAGCAGGGGCTTTTTACTATGGGAAATAGCAACTGATATAAATACAGATATACTTTTTTTTGTAAATACATACTTTTATACAAAAGAAACACCAACAATTGTAGCCATCCAACCATTTATCTGTTGTGAATTGTCGTTTTGTGCACTGGAAATTATGGAAGCCGATTGACGATTTTCATCGTAAAATCGTTTCTCAGATAAGGGCCCCATTTCTGGCTCAATGGATTTTTTAAATTTAAAACAAAATTGCGCTATTGGAGTGAGTCAAATCCACGTGTGGTTCAGGGAATCACAAAACTTTTTTTTTTTTTTTCAACGTGGGAAATCGTCGGACCTTCACCCGCGGGATTTTTCGTTCGGGGGGCGGGTTTTATGTTTCGGACTCAAAACCCGACTAAAAACCCACACGGTGTGCCTCTTGCGCTTCCAGTTTAGGAGGGGCCAGGTAGTTATCGTTCTGGACCCTCCAGCGCCGGCCCGATCCTGATGCGGGATCCGTTTAGTGGACCCTCTTTTTAGGCGACGTCGGCAAAACGCGGACGCCGCCCCTCGCGGCGGGCCCAAACTAAATTGCGGGAGGGGAGAACCCATCCCGTAACCCGCGGCCACCGCGGCATGAGGCGCAGAGAGCGTGCCTTCCCGCCGCGGCGGATCGGGCCGAGTTGGAGTGCCTCCTTGGGCTTCTCCGCCTTTTCTCCTTCTGCCTCACTGCAGTGCCCCAGTGGGGGAAAGGGCCCGGACTCGATGCCCTTCTGCGACCGAGTACAGATACTTGAAGCAACCGTGCCGGAAAGCACCTGGTCAAGTGGAAGGAAAGGGTCATGGGATACATTCCTAATGCAACCATTAGGAATGTATCCTGTGTCTTTTGTCGCGGGGGTTTTATTTTAGAAAGACAACTCTTTCTTAAAAATAAAAAATTGGCTGGCTGCCTGCGTAGACGGGAGAAATAGAATCTTTTACGTGGACGTAGGTGCAGTATGCTGTGCCAGACGTAATGAGGCCGTAGGGGCAACCGAGCTGGATCGGTATCCACCTGTGTGGTATCCCTGTTGTGGCCGAGATAGCTGGCTGGCTGAGACTTGATCATTGGTCATTGTTGTGGGAAGTGTACATGATGGTGGCGATGGTGCTGTGCTGATGTGGGGAAGTTATAATATTTGCTAAACTGAACTAGTAGCAAACAGTTATTAAAAATTAAACTAGGCTAGAGTTATATTTCCTGTTGCTGTTAATAGATTAATTATCAGAATTAAATTATTCTGAAATGATTGTAAGTTCGTTCTTTGACATTACGTCGTAATTCGAGTTAAGGAGAATCACTCATCAACGTAACTCGAGTGATTTTGTTGCGTTGACTCGGTTGTAGCAAAGTCATCTGTGACAAATGTCAATGAAAATCCTAAGAAGAACTTGACATTACCTGCAGAATTAGAGAAATAATATTTAATTTTATTAATATTTATTTTCAAACGATGGCTGCAATACTAGGAGGTGGCCTAGGAGGCCTGTCTGCCGGGTACTATTTGCTAAAAAATAATTTAAACAGCCAAAATAATCTAAAGTTATTTCTTTTAGAAGCTACTAATTACTGCGGTGGATGGATAAAGTCAATACGCACTAAAGATTATATTTTTGAGCAGGGGCCCCGAACTATTAGGCCTAAAGGGATTACAGGACTAAATACACTAAATATGATTGAAGATTTAGGTCTAAGCGAGCACGTATCACCTATAAAAGCAGACCATCCAGCAGCCAAAAACAGAATGATATATGTAAACAAACACTTGCACGTCCTACCATCATCTGTAATGAGCGTCTTGAAAACCAACGAACCGTTCTCCAAACCATTAATTTACGCACTCTTTAAAGATATTAAATCACCACACAAAGCCCTATCTGATGACTCCATCTACAATTTTGTTGAACGTAGATTTGGTAAAGAAATAGCTGATTATGGCATATCGCCTATGATTTGTGGTATTTGCGCAGGAGATGCTAAAGAAATATCTGTCAAGTTTCTTATGAAGACATTGTTTGAATGGGAGCAGATTCATGGGGGAGTTATTAAGGGGTTGATGAAATCCATGTTCAATTCCAAACTCGATGAAAATTTGGAATTAAGTGCTTTAGCAAAAAAAGCACAGGAAGAGAAATGGAATGTGTACACAATTAAAGGTGGACTGGAAACATTCCCAGCATCATTGCAAGACTATTTATTGGAAAACAAAGTAGATATTAATAAACTGAATAAAATTGAAGAAATTAAATTTATTGATTCTGGAACTGTACAATTAAAAAACGCTGAGGGTGTCAAAGTTACCGCTAGTCATGTTTATTCCTCAATACCGGCTCATGCTCTAGCTCATCTAATTGAGAAGCAGCATCCAGATCTAGCAAAAGACTTAAAAGAAATTCCATTTGTGACAGTAGGGATAGTCAACTTATATTTTAATTCATCAAAAGAACTGATTCAACCTGCATTTGGTTTTCTGGTACCGCCTATTGAGAACTCTCCAATTTTAGGAGTTGTCTTTGATTCTTGTTGCATGCCAGATCAGAATGGCACTGTTTTAACTGCCATGCTCGGTGGCAGATGGTTTGAAGAGAAGTTTGGTAAAAATATATCAAACGAGAAACTTCTGGATATTGCGTTAAAGGAAGTAGTCAGGATATTGAATATAAAAGAAGAACCCACCGCACATAATGTAAACATCTTGAGACAATGCATACCTCAGTATATAGTAGGTCACTATGAGAGAGTTGATAAAATAAGACAGTACATTCAAGATCATAATCTGCCGATATCCCTGATAGGAAGTAGTTACGATGGAGTAGGTATAAATGATGTAATATATTCCGCTAAGACACAAGTTATGGGCCAAACGTACTGTAAGAATGTGCATGTTGAAACATAGAACTTGACTTATTCTGTTGCTATGAATTTTATGTTTGAGTAAGGAATATAAATGTCACATATTTTCTTGTTAATGCATTTGTGATTTTTGTTCATGTTTTTTTTAAGAAAAAATATAACATCATAACGGTCTCATGACCTTTTTAACCCCTCTAACCTCCAGCAGGAGCGCAGGAGCTCCTACTGCTAACGACCTCCTTTAGTACAATACTGGACAGTACTGGTTGGGTTTGAAGCATGAACTTGATCAAAGTCTGATGCTATGCTACCATATTTTGTTTCAGACTAAATGTCTAATAATTTGTGATGAGTTTAGACTTCAGCCTCGGCGTTTTTGTTGAGTTGCATTGTATTATGTTGGATTTTTTTTTATAATGTAGGGGCAAACAAGTAGACGTGACACCGGATGGTAGGTGACTACCGTCTTCCATGGACGTCAGCAACTCATGAAACAAGCGCGTGACGTTTAGAGCCTCTGGTAACCTCACTCATTGGGTGAAATGCTACGAAATATATGCTTTACACCGTCGAGCCTGCCCACACGGGCCGAAGTATGGCTCTCTCATAATTAGTAACGGATTCGGATTCGTAACGGATAGCGTAGTCGTTTAAGCGGTCACCTCGCCGCTTCCTACTTCGCTGGGGGTTGGGGGGGTCCCCACATGGAACAACTGTGTGATCCACAAATTGTTGTTCTGAGTCTGGGTGTCCTTTGTATCCGTTTCATGTATGTTTGTAGTCCAACGCGGCACAGGATTTATTCCTAGTACGGGAGTTGTCTTTTATAAGATTAATTAATCAGTTTACATCCAGTCGTTCATTGCGTTTATATTAGTTTTATTATTTGTTGACTGCAGAACTCTTAACTACTTCGAACTCAAATGCGCTAAACAGCTGGAGGGGCTTAAAATGACTTAAGACTCCCACCGGGACCAGCTTATGAGACTCACCAATGTTTCAAATGACAGGTATGAACTAAGTCAATAGGTTTAATTTTTTTTTATGTAATATGATTCACCGTGAACGTGTTGAACCGTGAAGTTTATGTATCTTGGAACTTGGAAAATAAAACAAACCTTATGTTCAAAATATTATATTTCAGCTAATTACAACCGATTCAAAGTGGTTGTTATTATGTATAAAATATGCAAAACTGCCACAAGCAATGTTAGTTACGCAAAATCATTTCATATTGAGAAGTTTTTAGCTTATAACATATCTTAAAACTATAATAATAAATATTTAAAGTAAACGTCCACACGCAGCATGGAATTATAATTTCATTTGTTACAACAATCGCGTAGGCACAATATATGTATGTATTTGTGTATATAGCTGCTACTGCATACTTGTTTACATAATGTATTTACATGAGTGGTGATTAAGAATACGTAATGTCACCACCCCTATTCACCCCGTGGGTGTCGTAAAAGTCGACTAAGGGAGAAAACTACGCAAGACAACAGCACTGCAAAGAGAAGGAAAACTTGAACCAAACCCTATACTAACCCGTCTGGCCAGTGTGGTATAGTAGGCCAAAAACCTCCTTTCTAAGGAGATGCCTATGTCCAGCAGTGGAATATCATAGGCTGTTGATGTAATATCGTTAGTGGACTCGAAACCTTGAACAAATGATCGCTGGTCTCGCGTCTTAGCCATTTTTATTAAAGATTATATTTGTTCACGCCAGCCTGAAGCGTCAGTGTCAGGTGTAAGTTCGGCACCGTTGAGGTAAGACGCTTCACCCATTAAATCCTCAGTAGGGTCTGAAACAGGTGAGTAAACACGTACATCTTAGCCGTAATGTTACCGCCCTGTCGACAAAGTGTTAGGTACATGTTAAATTATTGTTAATGTAAGTGCTCATAAATTAGTACCTATTTATCCTTATTTACTTAAAAGATATACAATTGTCGTTTTTCAGAACAGAAGAATTCTATTTTGCCACCTTTAGGTTTCAGGATTAAAGAACATTTTAGGAAAAGTACTGAATGAAAATAATTCTTTATATAGACAGTCTGTAACTTGAAGCCATTTCGATAGAAATTGGTTTTATAACTTTGATACTTTTAATAAGCAAACCTAAATGTAGTTAAAAAATTAAGTGGTCATTGCTCCGCTCCTAAAGGTTGAAGCGCGATGTTATATAGCCTATAATTTTCCACAGTAAATATTCTATCCATACCAAAAATTGTACTAAAATGTTTGAGACATTAATGCATTCATACTAACAAACAAGTAAGCAAAATATATAATTAATACATGGGAATTATTTATTTCATTTTTTTTACAAAGGTAGCTTTCAAGATATCGAAAATTACAAATCTACCAGTAATTCATAACTTCTGGGATGAGTTTGAAAAAGTTGTATGAATACAACTCATTCAAACTTATTTTATTCTAAATGACAGAGGATCAATTCTCGTAATAAGAATTAGTCTAAAGCTCCAATCTACTCTCGATCTCATAAACGGTATTCTCGTATTAAAGTGTTACTAAGACTTCACGATTATAAACACATTACAGTCAACGTTATACGTTTATTACTTTACTACGAGAATACCTTTTATGACAAAGTAAGATCGAGCGTAGATCCGAATTGAATTTTAATTATGAGAACTGACCTTCTTTTTTTACTTTGATATTTTTCTTTAGTGGAGTTTTCCTAAACTGAATCAAATTTTGAGTGAGATCCTGAGTCCTAGGAAGTGAGCACCGATATACGAGTATGCGTTCAGCAAAAATGGCAACGGGTGCTCGTTTGCAAGCTCAGGAGTATAAAATGGTGTCGTAGCTGGTCCTGGCACTAGTTGTCGCTGACGGTGCCGAGGTGGAGCAGCACGGTGGCGTGGAGCGTGGGGTTCTGGCACTAGTTGTCGCTGACGGTGCCGAGGTGGAGCAGCACGGTGGCGTGGAGCGTGGGGTCCTGGCAACTAGTTGTCGCTTGACGGTGCCGAGGGGAGCAGCACGGTGGCGTGGAGCGTGGGGTCCTGGCACTAGTTGTCGCTGACGGTTGCCGAGGTGGAGCAGCACGGTGGCGTGGAAGCGTGGGGTCCTGGCACTAGTTGTCGCTGACGGTGCCGAGGTGGAGCAGCACGGTGGCGGGGAGCGTGGGGTCATGGCACTAGTTGTCGCGGACAGGTGCCGAGGTGGAGCAGCACATGGTGGCGTGGAGCGTGGGGTCACTGGCACTAGTTGTCGCTGACGGTGCAGAGGTGGAGCAGCACGGTGGCGTGGAGCGTGGGGTCCTGGCACTAGTTGTCGCTGACGGTGCCGAGGTGGAGCAGCACGGTGGCGTGGAGCGTGGGGTCCTGGCACTAGTTGTCGCTGACGGTGCCGAGGTGGAGCAGCACGGTGGCGTGGAGCGTGGGTCCTGGCACTAGTTGTCGCTGACACGGTGCCGAGGTGGAGCAGCACGGTGGCGTGGAGCGTGGGGTCCTGGCACTAGTTGTCGCTGACGGTGCCGAGGTGGAGCAGCACGGTGGCGTGGAGCGTGGGGTCCTGGCACTAGTTGTCGCTGACGGTGCCGAGGTGGAGTAGCACGGTGGCGTGGAGCGTGGGGTCCTGGCACTAGTTGTCGCTGACGGTGCCGAGGTGGAGCAGCACGGTGGCGTGGAGCGTGAGGTCCTGGCACTAGTTGTCGCTGACGGTGCCGAGGTGGAGCAGCACGGTGGCGTGGAGCGTGGGGTCCTGGCACTAGTTGTCGCTGACGGTGCCGAGGTGGAGCAGCACGGTGGCGTGGAGCGTGTGGTCGCGGAGCGGCGTGGAGTGAGCGGAGGGTGGCACGGTGTTGCGGTACGAGTACTGCAGCGCGAGGGCCGCGCCGGCCGGGGAGCCCTTCGCCGCGTCGGCGCGGGTCTCCACCTCCAGGCGCAGGGCCAGCTTGTTGGACTTGCGCCAAAGGATGAAACTGCAAAAATATTTTAAGTTGGCACCGATACTGGCAAAGTATTTTGATTGCGTGATGCAGATCTATAGTTTTGCATAGGTCGTATATTCTTATTTAGATGAACGAATTCTGAAGTATGTGTTATGTTTGTGTGTCTGTCAGTGTGTGTGTGTGTCCGTGAGTGCGTGCGTGTATGTCTGTGTGTAATTATAATAAAGAAAAGCAGTATTCAACAGAAAATATATGTAAATGAACTTTAACTCCTATTTATATACACTTCTGCAAAAAATTAAGGAAGCCAAAAAAATATTGTGATTTTTTTAGCGATTTATGAAGGCCAAGGAATTTCTGTGGAAAATGGTCGTATCAGGCTCGTAAGAAAAGCATCTTGAAGCTCAGAAATTCTTGTTTTTATATCACTGAGCCAAAAATTTTAAGGGGCGACAGTTATCGAGTAATTCAGATGAATAGCGCTATTTTTTTTTTATTACGCATACACACTGGAAAGTGTTTGGAGTCAGTAAATACTGTGGAGTTGACGAACCATGGAGTCTCACTTTATCTAAGCAATCACAGACACAAGCACGCACATACACACACTTTGGAAAGTGAGTTTGGAGTCAGTAAATACTGTGGAGTTGACAAATCATGAAGTCTCACGTTTTCTAAAGAATCGGAGATACAAGCGCACACACACACACGTGCGTATGCACAAAAGAAGTGGTAGTGGTACGCTTTGGGTGATGCAAATGCGATTGATACAGAACATGAAACTATGAATTTTTCAAAAGTCGAAAAAGAAAATTTTCTTTATGAATTTCCAATTTCAATGGATAAAAAATGCCCGTCTGACAAATTGAAAAATAAAAAAATATTTTGATTATACAATAATGATTTTTCGGCACAAGGAAAAAAATCACTTTTTTTCACTTTTTTCAAATCAAAATTGAGGATTAAAAAAATCCAAGCCCGTGGACTAAAACAAAACATTAAAAATTCTCAAAAAAAAATCGCGCTATTCCTCTGAATTACTCGATAACTGACGCCTCTAAAAACGTTTAGCTCAAAGACTTAAAAATTAGAATTTTTGAGCTTCAAGATATTTTTTTACAAGATTGATACGACCATTTTACACAGAAATATGGGCTTTCAAAAATCACTGAAAAATTCTCAATTTCTTTGCGCCCTTAATTTTTTGCAGAAGTGTAGATTATTTGGAGTTAATTGTTAAATGAAAGATCTTTAATTGATATTAAGATAAATTATTTGTCATGCATGAATACAATACACTTTATACATAATATTCTGTTTTTACTGAGACAAACAGCAGCGACAAAGGATGACATGACGTTACGATAATAATATCCATACTACTAAAATATTATAAATGCGAATGTGTGTCTGTCTGTTACCTCTTCACGCTTAAACCACTAAACCGATTTAGATAAAATTTGGTATAGAGATAGTTTGAGTCTACAAAAAGGACATAGGATAGTTTATATCCCAGAAATCATCTTTTAAAGGGGTGAAAAGGTGGGTGAAAGTTTGTATGGGGAATCAACAACCGCTGAACCGATTTTGATGAAAATGAATATAGAGCTAATTAGATTCTTGAGAAAGGATATAGACTACTTTTTACCGCGATAACGGACGTACAGGCGGGTGGAGCCGCGGGCAATAACTTGTAGTATTATACTTACTCGGTAGTGTCGTGTTGCGCGTCATCGTCGTATTCGGCGGCGTCATCGCGCTGCGCCAGCGTCAGCGCCGTGGGCGGTGACGTCACGCGTGACGTCACCGAGTACTGCGGCTCGCGCTCGATCGCCTTGTACGACGACGTGTCCTGCACCACACAGTGACCAATAAGAATGCAGCTATATAAACAGTGTTTGACAATCGGACGTAGATACGCAAAAAGGATCTAACCCACAGTATGGTTGAAAATGAGCCAACCTCACATTTACTTAAATATTTCTAATTCTTTTCTATTATTCCCAATAAAACTTTTTTTATAAAAAGGACAACTATTTTTACAACTATGTCCCAAATAAACAAAATCACAAAATAGAATATCCATGAGCAATTTAAACTTCAATCTTCATTATCTCAATAGTGTCATTTTGTGTAATTTTTCGTCCAATCTTGATGCTAGATATTTCTAAAAACAATAATAATAATATATCTCACACATCTCACACACGGCCGTCTGATCCCAAACTAGGCAGAGCCTGTGATATAGTAGGCTATGGTAACCAGACTGCTGTCATACTTTATATTTTTAAATACATACATATCATAGATAAATTACACCAAGACACAGAACAAATGACCATGTTCATCACTCAATATTTGTCCTGGGTGGGAATCGAACCCACGACCTCCGGCAGGGTCACTAACCACTAGCTAACTTTTTCGTCATAGTCCTCGTTCTGTTACCAAGCCATTAAACCGAAAACACAATACCCTAATTAATTTACAGTCTCAACGAGTCTTGGCAAAGATTATTTGCATCTCTTTGCCCTGGAGGAATGTGTATGCTAGTAATTGTCCAGAGTTGGTCAGGGCTCAGATTGAGGGTTGACTCCGAGCATTGATCAAAAATTGATCACCACTGGGTATTTTTTTTTTCATAATGTAACTGCTTACTCTTAGCCGAAAGACCACCACTGGTCCACTGCTGGACATAAGCCTTTAATGAACCTATATTGGTAAAATTTTAATTGTTATTTTACACTTAAACTTATGTCTTGTTACTGAGAAAAACATGCCCACGAGGTTTCGGGACCCATCGCAACACACCAAATCAAATCTTACCTTTTCTAAATTTAAGGATTTCTCCAGCGACTTCTCAATACTCTTAGGCTCTTCCTTTTCTTCTGGCGGAGGTAGATCCTCGGGCTGCAGAAGTTTTATCTGCATCTCGTGCCCAGTGGGGTTGGTTAGCTTCAGCAGTAACGCTGTCTTCTCTCCGGCCTTCACTGGCTCGTGAGATATGATCTTCACTTCGGGAACGTGGTAACTAGAAAAGGAATAAAAAAAACCCAGTTGATTTAGGGCGATAGTGGTCTGTACACCGTTGGCATCTTCTGGTGTAGCTACAGTAGTTACTATTACTTATGTTATTTTGTAGCTTACTTAAACCAGCGTGAGAACATTCATATCGCAATTCAGAATCGAAAAGGACGAAGTAGTTTGTTTTTTCTAAGCTAGATGGCGCTTAATACAATATTACCAAACCAGTTATTGCTTATATTCTGCACGATACTTACTAAGCGAGCAGTTCAATCTTGAACTTGATAGAGCCAGGGTTGTACTCGGGCTTGGTGAGGTTGTGGTCGCAGACCCTGCAGCGCTGGCTGCGCTTGACGCTCAGCAGCTTGGCGAGCGGGTGCAGGCGCGAGACCGACACGGGCTGCCACTCCGGGGATGCCAAGCGCTGGGGCATGCTCGTGACTGAGATTATACATATTTTAAAGCTTATCAAACGTACTGTAATATGAAGAGGCAAAGACAAAAAGTCCGGTATCTTCTTTGCTTTACAACTGGTTTGCTTTATTTGTTTTTTATCATATTTAATAGGTGTGGCGGTTAGTTGATATGCTTTTGCCGTGAAGACTATCGCGGGAATACTAAACTCCAGACTCTAGTGGAATGCTTAGCGTAAGTGCAGCAGTGCTTGTAACAGCTATTGGTGCCTAGGCCTGGTGTTCAAATTGAAAGTGCGTGGGATGCTATATTACGACCGACGAAGTGATGAGTTACAGAGGCGGTGGAAGCTTCGGCATAAGGCTCTGTCTTTTCTAATGCTGCTGCCTTCCGTATAAGAAACGCCCAAGTATGCCAAGTTTCTAGAGGACTTCCACCCAAGTGAGTTTATGATAGAGAACTCGGGTATACTGTAGTATACCCGAGTTCTCTATCATAAACTCACTTGTGACGAAACATCGTGTAGTTTTAGTCGGTTTGATTTCTAAATACCAATACATTGCTAGCCTCGGTGAAAAAAAGACCTGTGGGGATTGCCACATGATAAAAAAACCTTCGAAAATCTACTTTCAGGTTTATGGAGATACTCTTGCCAGTCACAATACTAACTTTGATTCAAGTTGACCTCCTTGGTATAGTAGTCCTCAGGCAACTCCTCTACTTCAGCACTCGCCTGGCTCGGCACGAAGTTAGCGATAGCGGAGCACGAACTGTCACTCGAGGGTAGCCCAGCTATGTTGCGCGCCATCGCGCCTGTGAGACCTGTCTTGTCCTAAAACGAAATTATTTACTAATGTAGAATCTCTTGGTTAGCTCTGATCGTTTTGAGATGATGATGTATTGTTTGCAGCCAATGTACTCTCTGAAGATCTTCCAGAAAATTCTGAACATACAGGCATCATATCGCCGTCTTTTGGATTACGATCTGAGGATTATTTGAAGCAGTGTGACATGAATACCTTTAAACCAGGATTTCAATTGATTCAGAATTCCTCTCCAGCGCTAAAAACTTTTGTTAAAAGTTATCTAGTAGGTGTGGTAGTGGCAGACAGCTCTTCTTAGAGATTATTATCTGATTAGTGGGTTGCAGCACGTTTATATCTCCTGCTTTTTAACAAGAGAGTAGGTAAGGTCTATCACCTATATGTATATATTTTTTTTTCTCTTTTTAAAAAAGACAACTCCCGCATTACGAATATATCCTGTGTCGCGGGGGACTACAATCATACATGAAACGGACACAGAACACCCAGACTCAGAATAACAATTTGTGGATCACACAAAGTGTCGTCCCATGTGGGGTTTGAACCCACAACACTCGGCGCAGTAGGAAGCGGCGTGGCGACCGCTTAAAGCACTACGCCATCCGTGCAGTCAAAATATTGCGACAGGGTTACCATAAAGAAGTTAAAAGCTGCTGATAGATAGTCAGATAATTGTATTGATAAATTGGGCACATCGGATGATTAAAATGCCTCAATGGACTCGGAATTGATGATAATTTAAATAAAACAAATACTTTTGGTACAAATTATGGTAGATTTTAAAATATGTGTTTTAGTAATAGACAATCTGACAAAAAAAATACTTACAGTGAGGGTAATATATTTGCCTCTAATGGTAAACTTCTTTCTTTCTCTCTCGATCTTCTCCTGCTTCTCTTGTAGAGCTATCGCCTTGTAGTAGTCTAGCAACTGGTTTACGCGCGCTGCGAAAGGGTTGGTGCGCTCTGGCCAGCCACCTGACGCTATAAAGTAATATTTCTGATTAAGCCAACGTGAATCTATTATTACTTTAACCAATCAAGTTAAAAAAAAAAATCGTTTCGGACGAAAGCTTGGAACCTGATTGGTCAGGGGGCGACGCGTCATTATTTTCTTAACGCGAATGGACTATAATACTTTTATTTTAACCTCACCCGTAAGGGATGCGTGTAAGAGGAATGGATTTACATCAATCCTATATTACCTAGCTGCCACTAGTTGATTGCGATTCGTAAGCCTTCGTTCTTACACTTTCCACGAATTTTTTCTTGCAGCCTTAACAAAAAGACGCTCAGTAATAACGCATTCGGCCTATCATATTCTACAAAGAAGCTGTTTTCGTTAGCATTTCACAACTCTTAGAATAATGAAATCAGTCTGAGATGAGTCTGAGTCTCTAGACCCAGAGGATGTCATCTAACTGATGATATATTATTACTAACCTACAGGTTGATCTGGAATCCCAACATCCCTTGACGTCCACCGACAGTTGAAACATGACAAGTAATACATTTTCTTCGGTTGCTTGCTCTCCACTTTGGTATCACCACCGGCTGGATCCTGAGGGGTTTGTCTGGGCTGTGCCATGGTGGCTCGTGTAGAGAGGGTGTGGAAGCAACTGGGGCAGTCGAAGCAACTGCTGCATCGATTCTTTTTAAGTCGGGCCTCTGAGGATGGCATGTTCTCAAGACAGTTGGCGCAATAGTGTGAGTCCACCTATAAGCAAGGATCATAATTAGCGTGAAATTAATATATTTTTCGTTTGTTTTTTTTTCTTACAAACTGCCTGCTTTGAGGCAATTAGGCAGAGGTCATAAACTATCTGTTAAGGTTAGAAATGCGCACTTATTTATTTTAAAATTTCCCGCGCTTGTGGCGCCATACTTTTATTCACTGTGAGAACATCTGCATTCTATATGTCAATTATTACTTGCACCGCCATTGCGTATGCTCTGCATATCTTTTACAATAAAACACATCTTAGTGTATTCAGTGCTTTTATTGCTTGTTAACCCATAAATATCAACACTATCAATTTGTCTTGAATGAAACTAGCTTTCGAGTAGAGGTCATATGAGGTTTTATTCAGTAAAATCTGTTGATGGTCTTATGCATCTGATTAAGTAAGTAAGTAAGTAATCTTTATTGTAGATCATAGGTACATTATATAGATGATGTAGTTATCGGTACTTAGTCCGGCTATGTCCCGCCCATTGGGCATACAATAGATACAATTATTATAATATAGGTACATGCAATCTTCTTTACAAATAAATAAAATTGGAGTGTCTGTTTGTAATATTAAAATAACCGCTTTTTACTAAATGCATATGTATGTTTACAAGGTACATATGCCAAAATAACATTTTTTACAATTTTTGTCTGTCTGTCTGTCTGTTTGTTCCGGGTAATCTCTGGAACGGCTGGACCGATTTCGACGGGACTTTCACTGGCAGATAGCTGATGACACAAGGAGTAACTTAGGCTACTTTTTTAGACTAGCTTCCCACCGCGGCGTTGGCCGCGGTTATAACAACAAACGCGGGTAACACCGCGGGTCTCAGCTCGTGAATAATAAAATTTGTTAATTCAATATGGATCACATTTTAACAGAATTTGCAAACGGGCAATAATAATGTAGACATACAATAATAAGAGTAGGGAACACTGAACAAATCATGACTGGGGTATAAAGTAATGGAGCAGAGACCTGTCAGTCATGTAATCTTTGGCTGTATAATAACATTTATTTGGCAACAAGCAACTGAGCTTGGGTGCTTTTCAATATGTGTGGGTTTGAGGTTTCCTATTAAATAAATGAATAAACGGACGTGACGGATTAAGAATATAGAGTGTCACCATCCCTATTCGTTGTAAACATATTTCAAATTATAAAGAATTCTCGATTTACTTGTAATTAGGCAACACTCTTTTGGCTCTTTGATTTTCATTGGTGGCGATAGTTAATTATTATAGGATGACCCCTATACTGCTATTGTAAAGAAGTGTATGCTCTAAATCACACGGCATGCAAAAAAGAAGAAGACATCCCATGTTTAAAATTAATTTAGAAATAATTTGAATATGGAATTTAAAATGAGTTTATATACATAAATTAAAGCAAGTAGTTAAACTGTTTGGTTACACAGTGTGTCTATAAAAGTCTTGAATTCATGTTAACCAACTTAAAAAAGCATAAGTACAGTACTATTAAAGCAATTATCTAGTGCAGCGCATATTTAATAATATTAAGTGACTGTGTTTTAAAAAGAAAGAAAGTGAGAATTTTTTTTAGTAGCATATCCAAAAAAATTTGCAGCTGTAGAAAGTAGGGTATTAGTCTTACGGTTAATATGTTTAATATGGTTTACTTAAACAGTGTTTTAAAATGTGCACAATGATGATTAATAAATGAGGTTTTAAGGAAAGTAGACCAGATTTATTCTTGTTTTTTTGGTACACGAGGGCAAATCATAGTGCATACAATGATGATGAGCAGGAATATGAAAACTTCAGAGGAGAATGAATAAAGTTTGAATGAATGGTACCAGTTACCAGCGGCCTAGCAATGTTTCTATTAAACTTTGTTCATATTAGTACTAGTAGTCATATTAGTACTAGGATGACCGAGCTTTGATTTTTATTTTTTTAGTTAATTATATAAAAGAAACTAAAAATTATAGAATTTTTAGTTTTTTTTCGAATTTTTAATTTTTAGTTAGTTTTTTAGTCCTTAAAATGAGCAATTCTTGTATAAATGTCTATACATTTATACAAGAATTGCTCATTTTAAGTTATTAGATAAACAAAAGTTGTACAAAAGGTAGATTCCTATGTTTAAATGTTATTTTTAACCTAAAACATTAAATGTAACACAAATTTATAATACAGTATGAATTATACATCATTTCAATTTAATGTTTGTATTTTATTGTACAGCATCTAGCATTTTGATGTTTAATAAAATCATGCTGAATTGTCTTGACGAAGATTGAATGATTATCAGAAGGTAGTTTAATAGTCCTTTGCCAAATAATCATTTTTATCACCAAGAGCATTTAACTCCTCATATGCTGCGATATGTCGCTACACAGTAAACTGCCTTCACTAGTGAGCGCTATACAGTGTAAAGGCATCTGAGGAGTTAATAGTTCACTCCTCTGTTTAGAAAGGAGGTTTTAGGCTATACCACGCTGGCCAGACAGGGAAATATTCTTTAAATACTTAAGAAACTAAGAGTCTACAGCAGAACAATGAACTCACAATACAATTAATATTCATTGCATGTTACTAGTCACTATATTATTATGAGCTACTTTTTAATGTCAAATATATTGATTTTGCCTTTTATAATCTTTAGTATTGTTATAATTTTTTCTAGAATCATTAATTGTCTGCAAACCTTCCTGCAATGTTTTGAAGGAATCTAGATTGCAATTTTGGATAAGTCTTAGATGGTGAATTTAACATCCCACATGGAATGTTATTTACATTATTCAGTAGTATTGTTTACATAGTATAAAATTAAGTTACTTTCCATTCTTGTACACTTAGATCTTGCAGACTATGCAATGGATTTTAATGCAGTTTTTATTAATAGACAGTGATTCAAAAGGAAGGTTAGTACATAAAATCCAAGAATTTCAAAGATTTGCAATGTGTTACTTTTTAATTTTATTTTTTTATGTAAAAAGGGGGCAGATGAGCAGATGGGTCAACTGATGGAAAGGACCATCTCTAACCATAAACGTCTGCAACTCAGGAGTCAGTTGCCGGCCTTTTAGGAAGGGGTCTTTCCTTGAAGGTTGTATCGGTCCAGAAATACCGCAGACAATAACCCGTTCCACAGATTGGAAACACAGATGTGATGTCATACATTGCACCTGTTCGAAGTTGGGGTGGGTTGCTAGTTGTTTATAAAATGGTTGCTTTTAAATAAATACAAGGAACCTTTTTTTATTAGGCGTCAATATGATCATCTTCCTATTTTTATAAATTAATATTTATTATTAATGTAGTACTAATGGTTTAGAATAGATTTATTTAACAAAAACCTACTTGCGAATGTAATTGTACCTTGACTGGTCCAAGGAAGGAAGTAAATTGCGAAAACAGATAGTGAAGAAATTTCTCCCTCAGGGTGTAAATTTCAGTGTTTCTTTTCACATTCTTTCATAAAATGTGAATATAGATAGGTCGGTAGAATTTAATCATTAGTTATACACTTATAATAACTTATTATTATTTTTTTATCACCCTAAATTCCTCGTTAGTGAAGGAAAAGGTGTGTCAAGTTAGTAAATATATACAATTTTACTTGGAATTCTTGCACTTAAGTATTTATGTCATATTCATTAGCGATGGCCTAGATACTTATAAAGGTACATTTAAACAAAAATTAGCAATTTTATTGCGTTTTTATACAGTAAAACATATCAAAGTGGGTTACCTCATGACAAATGCAGAAACCGCAACGTATCTTCAAACAATGGCGGCAGAAATATAGGCTTGTGATAGGTTTCAATTGTCCACATGAACAAATGTATTTAACATAGTCTGGTTGTGTTAAATAAGCCATACTTAACGTTTTTTTTTGCGAAATGAAAGAAAGTATGCAGAAATACAAATACAAGTGCACTGACATTAAATTTGTTAACAATGACAGCTGACAGCTGACGTCATGTTTCCCCGTTCAGAAATTACTTAAATGACTTCATTTAAATCGTTTTAAAATTTTCACTAGCACTATAAAGTATTTTTGTATTGCCTCTCTGAATATACATCTCAAATATATTCTTATTAGTTATTAAACCACTGTAAATACGTCATGACATTAATGCCACGTCTGGACTTATGCGTAAACACATTTGGTTTTACTGCTCAACGACTTCAATGATTTGATTTGAAAATGTTGCACTACATCCATCTTTAATTTTCCTTATTGACAGGAACCGGTCAACTAATTTACAAAATCAATTTTAAGAGAGGGATTGTGTTCGAAAGTGTATATTCCTAGACTATTCCGATAGTGAAAACTTCCGAGGAAAGCAGGTCATATGGAATACAATTCGATCGTACTGGTGTTGCTTTTTGTTGCAAGGATTTTTTTTATGGCTGCTTAGTACAATTTATTCTTACTAACATAATAGGTGGAATGCAAGCCTATCGCCTTTTATTTATTTAATTTGAGTCTTTAGCAAAGGATATACATAGTAATATCACAGTTTATAATGACCATTAATAATGCCATGTAATAAGTCAATTACAAGAGACTACAGCATGCCTCAGCATGCAAACTTGTAAGTACCAAAATTCACTATACCTGTTTTTTGCTATAAGACCTTGCTTTTAACCAAAATTGACAGTTCTAGGTCAACCGGAATATATAGGGTACCCTATAGGTTTTGGGTCGAAAACCTATATGGTAGTTTCCGTTTGAAAAAAGAAACGTCTTACAGCACAAATAAAGGAATAATTCCAAAAAATCAAAGTTGAAAATTAAGATAAATTTTGGTACTTTCAAATTTTCGAGAAAATCTACGTACCCTCGGCGCACGAGTTCGACTCGTACCTGACCGGTTTTTTTTTTAAGTCTGCAATTTCGTAACGTTAACGAAATTATGGAGATTTGAAAGAAATTAAATTAAAGGTAAAGGATATTGTTTCAACAGATTTATTAAGGAATATAATCATTCACCTCGAGCAGGTCAGTGTTCAGTCAGTTCCACAGTTCAAATCTGTAACATGATCTGAGTTATGTTGGGAGGCCCGCCATTTCATTTTTAATTAGACACAATAAATATTGCTTTATTTACAACATTTTTTTTGTCACATAACATTTGACACTAATGCGTTCTATAAAATTGCGGATATTGAGCTATTAAAATATCAGTTCAATTAATATTTGTAAATGAATACTGTGATTGAAATTCATTGAAAGGTAAATTCCAAAATTAACAAAATACGGTCTATTATTTTAAAAAGAACTTAAGATTGTGATGAAATATGCGCTTTTAATTAGTTTTAATGGTACGAATCTATTTGCATTGCACAGTAGAAGGCCCAAGATCAAGCTCAATCTATCCTAATAAATACTATTCCCTTCCTATAATTGCTTCTTACCAGTTTTTATCTACCTTTCTTTTCACTATGAACTGAAACTGAAAAGTGGGAGACTTTTCACAAATCATTCCTCGAGTGGCCAGTTGACAGCAATAGGCTTGGGTTACGCCTGTTGCAAAATGTGGGCGTTTCATACGCCCCTGTCTACCCCTTCAGGAATATAGACGAGAGAGAGAGACACTTTAATGTCGTCACTTGCTGAGATGTAACGCTTCGGCTTAAATGAAAATAACCTAAGAATTATTTCTTATAATAAATAAGTAGATGGTATAACACTATTGCATTGGGCTAAGCCTGTAAAAATAGTTGTTTTTAAAGAAAATAAATAAATAATAATAAATAAATAAATTTTACGAAAATTGACTAGACTTTACGTGTATACTATGGATGACTACGAGATCTGTCCTATGACAAACACATAATGCGCCACTTTTAATTGTGTTGACAAACCACGTATAACCTAGTTCTGTCATTCTGTTTTTAAACAAAATTAATGCGTTAATTCTTTACACGCAAGGTCGTGGTGCGAATTTTAACCATGACCAGCCAGGGACGGCTTAAGGATGATGAAAAAAGAGGCGCCACTAATCGTTTTACAATATAAAATGGCAAAGAAAACCTATAATGTTCTTCTCATTAAAATCAGTAAGTCAGATTGATCGTGACCTATTTTATTAAAAAATAGTTACTAATAGTTACATTACTCATTTCCACACCACCGTAATGTAAAGAATGTCTATGGCATTGACTTGTCCTTCTCATAATGTTTATTTTCTCCTACAGGTAAAGGCTTTAGAGTTGGTAAATAGAATCCATAGAGTCAACAAGATTTGTATTTCTATAGCAATTTTCACAATCAATTTAAGTATACCTAGGGAGGACCGGGTCCTTCCCAGAGTAGGGCGTCTGAGGCCGACTGTTGGGATGGTATTTAGTGGAAACACCACTAAAAGCCAGGAGATCCGAAGGGTTTTCCCACCCTGTCACTTCTTGCCTGAATAACCAGGTATGCTAAATTTCATGATGGTCGGATATCTAAGGTTGAAAGCGAAAAAACAATCGAATAAACAAAACATACTCACTTTCGCATTAACATTTAGTTATTACTATTATTTAGAATAAGGTAGATTTTTAGGTTTACAATACATTATTTCATTTGCATCATGAAATGTGATCAACTTAGAGTGGAGCCTGAATGCTCCACCATGATTAATTTAATTTTATTAGTGATTTAATATCTTGAAATCAACATTAAATATAAATGATTTGATATCAGCTAGGTCACGAAATAGTATTTATATAAAAAGTTACGGTGTCTAGCGTGCTGACGTTAAAAAAAAAGTTACTGTTTTGACTTGACAGTCATCTACCATATTATAGTTAAAATAACTGCACAATTTAGGCTGTTTCTTCAAATTAAATTGCACGTGAACTTTTAATATTTGGCACCAAAGAAAAATGTTACAAATACGCCTCTGCGCAAAATCTATAGGTCTTTTAAGGTATGCCATCAGGAACCTCGTCCTGGTCGGACGCTGCTTTCTAATGTCGTAATGTATTGCGAAACGATCGATGGAACACTTATGTCATGTATTAATTACTGGCAACACCGTTATTTATGATTAAATACCCCATTGGAATCCGGTCGGAATGTGGTAGGTGGATTGTAGGAATGATTATTTCGTAGCTAATTAAATTTATTGATTTAATTAATTTTGTTTTTGAAGTGTGTGAAGAGATTCAAGTCATAAATTGACAGGGCTTTTTAATCACTGGTATTTTCATTATAGGAATAAATGATGATGCATGAATGGAAAATATAATAATTCAATGCACGGATGGCGTAGTGGAATAAGCGGTCACCTCCCCGCCTCCTACTACTTTAGGGATAGAATTCAAAAAATCCTTTCTTAGTGCACACCTACGTCACGTCATCAGTTAGTGAATCCGTCTGTCAGTTCCTTCCCTGTCAGTATTTTTATCAGCAGTCTGGTTATCATAGCCAAGCTTTGTCTAATTTAGGATCAGACTTGGATCAGATTGACAGCATGGATGGCGAGGTGTATTTAAGCGGTCGCCACGCCATTTACTACTACGACACTTTGTGTGATCCGAAAATTGTCCGCGAGTCTGGATGTTCTTTGTGTCCGTTTCATGTATGTTCATAAAGTCTCCCGAGACATAGGATTTATTCCTAGTGCGGGAGTTGTCTTTTTAAAAAGTTTATTCTTTTTTTTCAAGAAAGAATTATTACGTATATTGTGCTAGTGTAGTTTTTATTATATTATGATTTTGTAATATGTATTAACTAGTATGGACAGCCATAAGAGGAACGTAAATGAGATGGTTGTTAGCTACCTTAGCTAAAGTTGGACTCCTTGCCCTAATGTTAAGACTAGAGGGTTTGCTAATGAAACAACCGGTTTATTAATCACATATACAGACCGTATTAAATATCAATATGATCATATTAATAGCGCGATTTACATAAACGAATCAACGCCATCTATCGAACTTCAAGTGAAACATAAAACATTTTGTAGAACATCGATCTTAAACAACTGTAGCCTAAGGCGCTGTTGATATTTAATCCGACTTTGATTTAGGGACCTAAATACATATTATGTAGGTATTATAGAAAAATAACACCCAAACAGAACAAAAGAATATTACGACGAAAAATGAATACGACGGGCTTGTTGGTTTAGCGGTTAGTGATCCTAACTGCTAAACCAGAGGTCCTGGGTTCGATTCCCACCCAGGACAAATAGTTTTCTATTCTCTTGTATTCGTTTTTTTTCTTAATCTTGTTTTCTCTTCTTTGTCTTTTTACCTTTTACTCCTTAATAACGGACATACTAGCACACATCAAAACAATGTTGTGGTATATTTAATAGTGCCATTGTATCTATCTGTGAATTGCAAAAGAGTGGCCATGAGTTTGTTTGGCCTTTCTTCTCATAAGGCTCAATCCCCTTGGAAACGGGCGGTTGTAGATCGGCACAGGCATATCATAGATTTTGTATGGGTTTGATTTTTGTTAAATTAATTTGCTTACTATTTGACAAAACAGAGATTGTTGCTTTTGTGTCTTGATCTATGACTTTAGAGTCTACATAAAAGACGACTTCAAACAATTTTGAAAATTTTATGAAATAAAGAGAGTTTGAGTTGAGTTGAGTAGGCTCTGCCTAGTTTGGGATTAGCTGTCAGCTGCGTGTGAAGCTGCTGAAATCTCATTGGGATTTAGATTACTTGCCTGTAAAGTGTCTCTTAAAATGAATAATGAGCGTTAGGCGTAAGTTAGAACGGTAATCATTGCTTTTACTGTTTAGGTAACTGATACATTGATTTTAATACACATACTTTTTGTGTATCCTGTTCGAAGTCCATTTAAAAAGGTTATTTTTTCATTGATAACATATGTAACCTCTGTGCATCTACCTTACAAGATAG